ATTTTCAAAATCACACAAAGTAGAGATTATTGTGAGCAACACGCAGATAAGCAATCATCTTGCTTTGAATAACAAATATAAAAATACAATAATGATCAATTGACGAACACCCAAAGCTTAAAACTGTAACTGTATAACATAAGATATTAAGGTACCGTAAAACACTTAAATATTTACAAAATCATGTTTACTTTCAGCCAAATGCAGTGGTTAAAAGCTGAAAATATCTAAATTGGCCAAAACAAGATCAAAACAAATGCAAAACAGCTTACTACAATATTGATATAAAGATTGGCTAGAAAATGTGATAATCAGTAATTTGAACAAGTTTCTTACCCACATAAGCTGTAACCCGATACACATAAGCAATTGCTGTAAAAGTAAGTAATTTGCTAATGCTGTTGATCTTACGAGCATTCATGATTGAAATTTAATATTAATTTACACTCATTTTTGGTATTATTTAAAATACAATAACCTAAAGTATTAAGTAGCAAAAAATAAACCAATGCAACTCTTTTACGAATAAATTTAAATAAAAAACTTAAATTGAAATATAATAAATAGGTTACATACCTTATAAATCCGACAAACAGCTCATTTTAATTGAAGGTCGTTTACATGTTTCGGCTTGTATCGGCCATTGTCAAAACGTTGCAGTTGGATGGTGAAATCCTTGTCATTGTTTTCTACTAAAAGTACATACACAAACACATACACACGGACGGGACGAAAACATTACGAAAAACGAATAAAACTTTAAATAGGCCTATTAAATACACGGGCAGGACGCACGCACACCGTTGTCAAGATCAGGATGCAGACTGGACTAGTTGTGTCGGTGTTGTCTTATCAGCTGATGTGGACTGCTGACCAATGGGCGTCGAACTCTGCCTTTGTTTTAATATGCTATTGAAAATGTGATGGGATTTGAATTTAAGTTTTTCATTCAGAATTACGCTCTCAAAATTGTTGTTCTCATTAACCTGTGCCTTATAAATTTCGAATTCTTCGAGAGTGTTAAGTCTGCTTCCCTTTTGGCAAATATGTAGGATTTCAAGGCCTTTACTAATATCGTTCATATCATGGTTTTTATCGACCAAATGCTGAGCAAACGATGATTTTTGTTTTGTATTACGAGGATCTGGTCTATGCTCCTTGTATCTAGTATTGAAATCTCTACCTATATTTGCCAAAAGGGAAGCAGACTTAACACTCTCGAAGAATTCGAAATTTATAAGGCACAGGTTAATGAGAACAACAATTTTGAGAGCGTAATTCTGAATGAAAAACTTAAATTCAAATCCCATCACATTTTCAATAGCATATTAAAACAAAGGCAGAGTTCGACGCCCATTGGTCAGCAGTCCACATCAGCTGATAAGACAACACCGACACAACTAGTCCAGTCTGCATCCTGATCTTGACAACGGTGTGCGTGCGTCCTGCCCGTGTATTTAATAGGCCTATTTAAAGTTTTATTCGTTTTTCGTAATGTTTTCGTCCCGTCCGTGTGTATGTGTTTGTGTATGTACTTTTAGTAGAAAACAATGACAAGGATTTCACCATCCAACTGCAACGTTTTGACAATGGCCGATACAAGCCGAAACATGTAAACGACCTTCAATTAAAATGAGCTGTTTGTCGGATTTATAAGGTATGTAACCTATTTATTATATTGAATACAACAGCTCAGGAGCTAGAATGGAAATGAATTTTAATTAAATTGAAATCTGTGTTTCAATCTTAGGATACATAAATATACGCCTACTGCTGAATATTGTGATTTTCGTCCAATTTTAAATGCCTGAATAGATGTGAAGATATAAAATAGTAATTTTCTATTAAATTCCATATTGATGGCCCCTGGATTACTATAAATGACTAATAATGCTATGGTATAATTACCTCGTAAAGTAATCTAAATTTTGTTGATGTTAGGTTAAAACCTACATGTTTCACCATTATTACAGCATCGTAAGGGTATAAAAACATAAATGTCATTACTGTCACACACACACAATAAATACACATGAACGAACATTTAGTATGAACGAACATGGACGGTCCCGGCACAGGTAGTAGACAAATTTTGTTGATAATAGGTTAAAAACCTACATGTTACACCGTTAATACGGCATCGTTAGGGTAAAAAAAACATAAACGACATTGCTGTCACACGCACACAATACATACACATGAACGGACATTTAGTAAGAACGAACATGGACAGTCCCGGCACAGGTAGTTTTAAGTATACTACCTGCGCCAGGACAGGTAGTATACTGGTTTTTTACCCTGACGATGCTGTATTAACGGTGAAACATGTAGGTTTTAAAATTTGGATGTTTTGTTATGTCCCATCTGCAATGACTACAATTACATGTAATGACTTGTCAGTACATGGTATTAATGAGATCATTATACCATAATGTTATTAGTATTTTCTTATTATAAATTCTTTACATCTTTAAAATCATATATGAAATATGAATGTTGTACAGCCTTCTGTGATAGTACCTCCTTGATAAAGAAATCACAAGATGAAATTATACAACATGTATAAATATAATTTTAACTTCTCCTAAAACATTTAAAACTATACTATAAGTATTGAGAGACTGTTTAATAAATACTAGGGAAAAAATTAGACTTAACACACTATCCGCTCAAGTATCAAGCCTAAATAATTATAAATTCAATTGAAAGTATAAACATTACATGGTACATACAGAGATAATGAATAATGAAAACCCTCAAATTGCATAAGACATATTTTAAGTTTTCTTAATTCTTTTTATGGTTTGAACAGCAGCTTCTAGTGAAAATACATTATCATAATGTTTCATGATATACAGGTCCTGTTTGTATTTTTAAGACTTTCTAGTTAAATATACTATACAATGTTGCTCTAATTTTTTATATCAATACAATTAGTGACTAAATTATCCATTAAACAAGAAGGTCAACAAAATGATAGTTCTTATTTTAAAATTGTAAAATGAAAGAGAAAAAATTGAATGTTTATTCATGAGCGACATAAATTTTGTTTATCTTTTATATTAATAAAATGGAAATACTGTATAAGTGTACACACTATACACCACTTAAGTTGCTTTAATGAGTATATGACTAAGCCAATATAGCACCCAATACCAAACATTTTATGTAAGTAATATTTATAATCATCCAATTATCAACTACCTGCAAAATTCTAAACTACAGGCACTAAAATATATGAGCTTATAAGTTGACTGCTTACCAAGAATAAGTGTTATTGAGTAAAATGTTAGCCTCGAAACTGGATTCTATTGGTTAGGTATCATTAGCGTAAAATTGGTGGGAGCAAATCTTATTTATAAATTAACTATCTTTTCCAAAAGCTAATAGTTAAATAATAACCTCAAAACTAGCATTATATAAAACGTATAAAGTGGTAAAAGCAGGTGGTAAGTTTTGTTAAAAGAATACAGTAGGGAAAATAACATTGATTTAAAAAATATGGAAGAGTTCTTGATGGTACAAATAACATTAAATTAAATCATCGACTATTCTAATGGCAGCTTGATATTTTGTTATTGCTCAAAGATTCTTGTTGATGGTACAAATAAATAATTGCTCTTTAAAGTGTAATGCATCTGATAAAATTATATTTTACAGTTACTAGGAAGCGGGAATTTGGGCTTATCGCGGCATCACAAATGCTATTTTCTATACTAAACACAAACTTACAAATAAATGAAAAAGAATTAATTTTCTAAAATATTTATTATAAGCAATGAGATTTTAAAGTAAGATTAAGAAATATCTAGTAGGTATCTGAAATTTGATTGATATTATACGTATCATTGTTGTATACCATACTAACTCAATAATGGTGCTGAATAAAAGGTATCTGAGCCAGATTACCATTACCATTATTGTTACCAATTGAGACAGGGAAACCACCTTTTTGCTTGCTAAGAATTTGAACCCATATATGAGTGAAGGGTGAATGTAGGTTTAAGTGGGATGCCTTGTGTAACTTTGTTAAAACCTTCAAAATTAAACTTGCAACTCATGCCTTTTGTAAAATATATCTGGAATAGGCATGTATATGTAGCCAAACAGTACATACATTTTGACACAGCTATATTACACAAAAATCAGAACAAATTGGCTCCCAAAAACAAAAATGGTTTGGCAAAAAACATTTGTTGAGTACCGTACATAGTTTTTTTTTTAAATCTAGACAGTTTGAACTAGTGAATATTATAAGTAAGCTACAACAACAAAAAATCTACTGTCATGGGTTGGGTATAACTGTCATAACTTATATTTAATTTCTGAAAAAAAATTCTCTTCAAGGAACAATGCCAAAAATAGTGAATTAGTTTTTAGGTGTTGCGTTCCAGATTACTTAACAAATTAATTACTATTCTAGAGGTTAAATACCTTGTTGCCAACGTCGTCTGAATGGCAAATGGTTTTTAGACTCTTAAACTAAATTGTTAAGATGTAGATGTGTGGTTGTCGCTCCTAGGAGGTTGTCAAAAAGTCTTCAAAACACATAAATGTTTGTGTCACATGTATGTGTTTTAATGGCTTTTTGACGACCTAATAGGAGCGACAACCACATCTCTAAATCTTGACAGTGTACCTTAAGTGTCGAAACCAGTCTCCATTCAGACAACATTGGCAACAAGGTATTGAACCTAATAGTGTACTAAGGTTGTACTACATAGATAAAAACAAGATAAAGCCCTTATAATCATACATAAAATAAAGCTGAATTATAATGATGACTCTATAAGAGCTGACAAAAAAGCCTAAACTAATTGGCCCAACTAACATGTAAAACCTAAAAATTCATTACAACCTCATTCTTAAAATCAAATTGTGTATAATAACTGGTAACATAAAATATATCAGTTTAAAAATAATTTATGAAAAGCATAAAATAAATTGGTTCTGAGTGAGTAGTTTTTTTATTGTTTTCAACTGTTAATTGCCAAAAACTCATCTTAATTATCAAAACAATAAAAAACAACTGGTAATGGTTTGTGGAATGTTTAAGTGACTACTCAAAAACCAAAAATGAAAAAAAAATGTTAGCCATAAATTTATTATTGCAGTACATTAAAGATGGAGTTTTTTTTTTGCGAAGACTAGGCTATGTTTTTATACGTAACAGTTCTGTCAGTTATAAAACTGTTTGGAATGACTACTAAAACATTGAATTTAAAGTTATGATTCAGTTTTAAAGCTGGCAACAAAGCTTATGAATCGAATGACTACAATAATGGTAATGACAAGGCTTGAATAAAATAGTAAACTATCACAGGGCGTCCAGCGTTCCATCAAAATAAAATGCAAAGACAGTTCCAGGTTTTCCAGGTTCAAAATTTCCAGGACAAAACTTGCCGCTCTAAAATAGCAAAACTTACCTGCTAGTAAATTTAAACCGCTTCATCGAATTCTGTAATAATTTCTTGCTAATGCAGCCATGTCAGTGATCATATCTTTCATTTGCGGCAAATCTGTGATGATTTCCCACGATCATGGCAACAATCATGATGAACATCCGTGATGATTTTTCGCGATGTCATACATCTGTGATCACTTTCAATGATCATGTCAACTCCTATGGTTATTTTCCGGGGTCGAGGCAATAGCTGTGATATTCGCCATGGTTACACCCATGATGATTATTTACGGACGAAATTTGTGATGATTTGCCGCGATTGCAGAAAACTTGCGATGGCGACATAGCCCCTGATGATTTCTCGTGATAACGGCAACACAAGTGATAATGTGTTTTGATTGTGTCAACACCCTTTTATCTTCCTGGTGATCGAAGGAACACCTTTGATTATCTAATGATCGCAGTAATAACTAAGATAAACTACCGCAATTGTGACAACACCTGCGATGATTTCACACTATCACGGCAACATCTACGATCTTATCTCAAGATTATTTAAACTCTTGTAATTTTTGCGATCACAGCCACATTTGAGATCATCTTGCAATTTCGGCAAAATTAGTGATGATTTTCTGCGATCCTAGCAACGGTCATGATCATTACTTACGATCGTTTGATTGCGTTTGATATACACACACTATATTAACATTTAAATTTTCCAGTTTTTTACAAAAATTATGAATTTAGAGATTTTTTCCGATCATAAAAATTGACGTAGGATTCCTGGTATTCTCAATTTCCAAGTTGGCTGGTCACCCTGTATCATTACTAATTTGGACTAAAAGTATCCATAATCCATACACAAAAGTTCTACATAAAACTAAAACTAAGACTATTTTTGGTTTTAGAGACTTTTTTTTAGTCTGTTATATCAAAATATATTAACCAACACATATCACACACAAAACAAGCACTACAATAATTATTTTCAATTACCTACAGTATGAAAGCACTATACAAATCTGGAGCAGTAGATATATTGGGTTACAAGGAAGGAGCTAATCGCTACTAAAGTTCTTATTGCATTTTATAAATAATAAACTTCTGATGAATTATGATTATAAGTTGGTGATTTGCTTTTAGTATTATGATTTTGCTTGAATAAAAATGATTAATTTGACTTTTTTCTAAACTGCCCTTAAAATCTATATATTTTTGTTGATTTAAAAAAAAATTAAAAGTGCAACCTTTATAATTCACAAATAAAGTGAATTCCTATTGCAGTATGAAGTTTTTCAAGATTTAACACTTTCAATATCAGTAGCGATTAGTTCACTATCTCAATTTTATAACTCTACTGCACTTTTTGATTTACTTTTAAAATAAATAAAGCATTTAGAATTGAAAAAAGTTTCAATATCCTAAGAATATTATTTTCTGTCGACAAACTTTAACACAGTGGCTAACAAAATCTAATTCAGAAGACAATTCTGACTATGTCAAAAGCGATTGCTAAAATCTTTAGTCTTGTAATTGGAACTCGATGCGCTCTAAGCGGGCAGTCTTAACTGGGAGATGGCTAAATAAATGGTTCGTTGTGGGTCGCTTCAGTTACAGCTACTACGTTGTGCATACCTCACCGTTTTCGGTACAGCTTCGTAATCGGTAGAGTGACTGCAACGGAACATGCAGCAACTCCACCAGCTCCGGGAAATGAGGTTCTATAACATAAACACATTGGATATTCGTCATGTAGCAGATTGTATGTATTGACTAACATATCCTGAACAGTAATTAGGTATTGATTATTCTATTTTTGATTGCATGAGACCAAGATTTTCAATGAAGCTTCACACTCTATTTTTAATTTTTTTTTTTTGGTCCTTCTTTAGGCTATAAATGTGGCTACCGGTACTAAGTGGGTTCTAAGGGTTTACAAACATTCTTACCACTGTCAGGAGTTATTATTCCATGTCTGATGAGAAAGTCAAGTACCACTGGGCAACTGGTGGTTTTGAAATCTGTAGACAGAACTCTGACTAGAGCCTCCTAAAATATCACACATTCATAATTAGAAAAAAATGTATCCTCCCAAATACCAATTCAAAGAAGTATCTATATTAATTGGTTGTGAATTTAAAGTTCGATTAGTAAAATGTTTCCCAGGGCAAACTTGTACAGTAGACTTCTCGTTCAGATCCTTTGGCTTCAGACGGCCAACGAAGTAAGACAAAACTCATACCATCAAGTACTCACACACTTTCACCATTGACATTTTTGATTTCTGCCAAAATTTCACAAAGGTTGTGGCAAAGCAACATCTACTCTTACATTTTAGCAAAATTCCCATATAGGGAATAAGCTATTACCGCAGTACTCATACCAGAAAGATGATCAATGGGTGTTGGCCTTAAAGGGTAACCAGACATAAGTAATATTTGTATAATATATACTCAACTTGAATTAAACTGATCTTCAGAGTGGGGCTATTGGATCTACTATTAACTTGGTACCGATACACCTTAGGATAGCAGTAATACAAAAAAACTTATAGTTACAAACTTAAGACCCATTGAAAATATAAGCTAAACAAACCTTGGCAGGCAGGAGTTCAAACTTTTCTACTTCTCCATCATTATTTTTTGGGATAAAATTAATTGGAAGTTCCAAGTCAAAAACAAACTCAGTATTGGGGAAGAGCCCTCGTTCACTCTCAAAGAAGAAACTGAAACACAAATAAAATATTTTAAATTTAAATTGCTACTAGTGATGTGTCAAAACCGAATCTCAAATCTCAAAACCATCAAAACTTTGGAAAAGTTTCGGTTTCGAGATTCGATCACCAAGTTTTGAGATTCAAAAGTTTTGAAATTGAAGATTTTGGCAGTTTTATTTTCGAAACTGCTGAAATTTTTTGTGTCATTATTATTGTTAATAACACTGTTTCCACACAAGCACGTAGCAATAGAGCAAACATATCACCATCAACAGTAATAAAACAAGTAAACTGTATTCTGAACTTCAAAGGGTTTAATTTTATTTTAATGTTGGTTGTTTATACAAAAATATATTGTATTCGGGTTTAAGATTATCAGACACATATTTATGTTATGTCAGTGTCAGGAGTCGATCTCTTTCAGTTTTGATTGCATACTTAACATTTTATTATTAGGCCTACCTGTATTTTTTGTAACCTTGACCCTTGTAACCAGCTAAGTAAAAAAGTTTTGCGTTTGGGTTATGAGATTCGAGATTCGGGATTCGATTTTTAAAAGTTTCGGTTTTGGTTTTGAGATTCGAAATTTCTGGTTTTGACCATCACTAATTGCCACATTTTATAAAAGTTTCAGGAAACATTGTTGAATTAAAATACATTTTGAACATTTCCCAGATTAAAAAGTGTTATTAATTGAAGTTAATTAACACGTTCAGTGCTGACTACATCAATTGATGTAGTCGTGCCACGAGCGCTTCTACCGGCCTACATCAATTGATGCAGTTGCGCAACGCCCACTACATTAGTTCAGTTTGAGCTCAGCCATTGCCGAGGAACGATAAAATAGTTGCTAGCCTGTAGCTTAGGATGTGAGCTTTATTTTGGTGTAGGTTGGTACTAAAATGTCCCGTAAAATCCCGTCAGACAATGCTTTTGTTCCGGTTTCGGGGATTTTCTCTCTTCAAGCCATATTACAAAGCCACTGACTACTGATCCAGGCAGTGCTGCTACCTTTGGGTGTTTTAGGGAACTACGTCCTATCTCGGGGTGACGTAGTACAATCACCGCTGCTCTTTTGTTATTCGTCAGATTGAAATATTTGAATGCCAATTGCGTTCGCTGTTACGGTGCCGCACCGGGGATTTGCCCGGGCCTCGCCGCCATTTGCGAGCGCCTGTTAAAATGCCTGCCGCACTGAATGTGGACTATCAATGCAACTAGGTATGGGGACATCGGAACAAAATTAAATAAAGTGTTTTAACTGGCTGATTCACATACCGATTCATCAGGCATACGTCTCAAAAGGATTCCCGCTTTAATTTTTAGAATTTAATTCACATTCACGTTCGCATATATTGTAGTATTTATTTAGTATTTTGAAGCCTTTGCACACTAGGCCGCCATTGAAACGCCACTTTGGAGTAAGGAACCTTGAGTGGTGAGCCACTTCATATTCATACATATTTACTTGCTCAGTTCACTGTTTTCTATTGATCGTGATGGGCGTGGAAGAAGCTTGGGGTTTGCTTTTATGTTTCTTTATCTGCGGAATAAAAGAGAAAAACATAGGAGAAAATAATGAATACACCCATTTGTACAACATTGAAGTTCAAGAGGAGTATTTTTTACTCATTATGTCGACCTCAGAAAGAACCCAGATGTGTTTTACATATAGGCGAGAATGACTGTTGATGCCTACAATTTACATCTCTGTTCGAGTAAACTTCACTGCTCATGTCCCAAAACGATCTGCGTCAAGCCTCACCATGATTACAAATTACACAGGAGAAAAACGAAACTACTGGTGTCGCCACCGAGCCGCGACAGCACTCCTTATGATTCAATGCTTTTCGGCTTGTGGTTCGTCCAATTGGGCCAGAGGTGGCGAGCAAATTTGGGGGCTCTGGCCACTGTAATTTAGGCGCGAGACCAAGCCACCTTAGTGGCCCAGCGTGCCATTGTACATACTACACAATTGTACAATTGTGTGCCATTGTACAATTACTTTCGTGGTGGCGCATCCATGGTGGCCTAGTCTGCAAACTGCAAAGGGTCAAGGGGCTTAGGTTGTGAACACTTGAGCATCGCATTGTGTTGTATCAGAACTCTGAGACTGGTTGACATTTCTGTTTTAAGCTGAGTGGAGACCCTTTAACAAGGTAGGTAGGAAACATGTTAATCTATTTTCTAGGCAGCCCTTATGACTATTCCAGTACAAGATACAAGAACTTTATTGTTAGTAAAATACATAATGTGGTACATTAGTATCTCCTAACTCGTCAATTGATCCTAAAGCTAAACATAAACATAATTTTAAATCTTCACCTTAAAACATATTCTATAATTAGTAAATTAAATTTATCTTTAATCACAAGCCAAAATTCATCTATTGTGATCAAACAGAGCTTAATTAAAACAGTATTGTTAAATAGTTTGAGAGAATACTTACGACACACTTCCACCAGATCTCAATTTCGTCATCAGTTCCGGAGGAATTGAAGCCTCTTCTTCAGCCTCCTTATAAGCAGTTTCCAAAACTCCGTAGCCCACAGAAAGACCACCCCCAACCTAAGGTAATTATAATTAGGAGTGTCAATTGTTTTTAATTAAACTAAAAAACAAAACTATATTATTTTCCCGGTTTAAAGAAATAAACTATTTATTCGTTTACACTATGAATTAAAAGAGTGTGTCTACACTAGGGGTGGATGGCTTCAGAAATTATTTCAGAACATTTTCGGGAAAAATATATACAGTATAACCTCGATAGCAAGACTCGTGGGGATTATGAAATACAGTTTGTTATCAAGGTTGACTTCATATCGAGGTTTACAACAACATATGATTAGGTATAAATTAAATAAATTATAGGGAATTTGAAAATGATACTTATTATCAAGGGTGACTTGTTATCGAGGGTTTTGTTATCAAGGTTCTGTATCCGATCATTGGGATGGGATTACACTTGATTTGGGATTTGGGACTTGGGACTTGGGACTTGTTTAGGAATTGTTCCTCTTAAACTGATAAGTAATCCATAAACATCAAATTTTGATAGGCACTTTATATTTTTCTAAATAATAGGATATTTTCTTATGTATCTTGACTTTTTCTTCGTGAACTTCCATTGAATGACATTTACTCGAGACGAATTGTTGGGCCAATAATGAGACCGTATTCTCTCCCCTTGTCAATAGCATTATATCACTCCGCCTTACAAAGCCCTATTCTTCCAAAGCCGTGACTTCTTGTTCTTCTTAAGCTGTGACTTCTTCTAAAGCTGTGACTTCTTCATAGAGCTTGTACTTTTTTTGCGGGATTGATCAGCTGTGGAGGGTATGATGGAGGGTATTCAGTAGAAGACTTTTAAATGGGCACTTTCCACGGATGCCGGGCAAGAGTTTCAAGGATACATTTCTCAAATACATGACTATGCCTACGATGGTTCCCGTCCCTGGACCTTCCATGAAGAATTCTAAGGGGAATAACGTCCCTGACCATTTTCAATTATTGTTTTCAAACTCAGCTTCGGTAGGCTAAGTTCCAAACAGCTCTGACAGCCAATTTCTATTGTACCATATTCGTGCATCTACACTAATAAATTGTAGAGTTTTGTATAAGCATCTAGGCAGCCAGTGCAACTCCTAGGATCGTGGATCAGATCGGATGATCGGAAAACCCCCCACCACCGCTCCGTGCCGATGGCGTGACGTCAACCATTACCGCAATGATACAGAGTTGAGTCATGAGCCTTGGTGGTGTAGTGGATAGTGTGTTGGGCTGATAATCTGGAGGTGCCGGGTTCAAATCCCGCTGGTAACGCTAACTTTTTGTCACCAATTTTTTTCATATCATCAAGTTTGGTTGGTTTGGTTAGGTTATGACAGTTTAATTTTATAATTAAAAAATTATAAAATTGAATTTGAGACATTTATAATTTTGTTTTTAGAACAGAGTTATTTTTTCGATTAGTAAACCTTCATTCGAGTTTATCATTATCAGCAAGTTTGGTTAGGTTATGACAGTTTAATTATATTTAATTTAAATTTAACCTACAAATTAAACGTTTTGACAGCGACAGTGATAGAGATAACAATTTTCCGCGAACAGTTAGATAGGCTATGCTGATGCGCCGGTATGATTCGGAAGCATACGACATGGTGCGGTGGTGCCACAGCGCCTCTGATCCACGATCCTCGGAGTTGCACTGGCAGTCTAGACGCTAGTTTTGTTCAAGGAAAGGTTCTAGGAGAGGATTTTCAATTGTAGAAAAAGGGGGATAGCAGCTGACATACCTTGAAAAAGTGTAGGTAGGCAAAATATGTTTCTCTACACTTGACGAAGTCCCCCAGGGGACAAAATATTGTGTGCATAGTGTCTCTTCTGTACGTTCTATTTGGCCTAACTACACTTTGTCAAGGTAAGCTACCTGATATCCTCCTTTTTCAAAAATTAATTTTAGATTTAGCTTATTGCTTGGACACATAAGTAGGACAGTATAAAATTGATTAGTAAATGAATTTCCCTAATTAGCTGCGTGAAAGGTGTCCAAAGTGTCAGTTTCAGGAATTTATATTCTTGAGCATTACTGAAACATAACCTCAGTTTCATACAAAACTTGTAAGTTAAGCATACCATATTATCCCATCGCCCCGGCCAGGTCTGCTTAGTTGGAGACCTCCTTTGCAGCCAGATGCACAAACCCTTCTCCGGATCCATCACATACCCATTAATGTCAACTCCATAGTTGCAGATTCCAAATAAGCCTGGAAAAGAAAAAAAAACCTATTAAAATAACAATAAAATGTTAAAGATTCCATGCTTTAGATATGGAGGTTGGTGGCAAAGCAAACAAATATAACTTAAATGATCAAAGATACCATAGTCGGTTTTTCATAACCAATGTTGAAACCATGAACAATACAAAACATTTATGCTCTAACTCTAAACACTTTAGTTCTAACCCTTCAAAAGGAGGCAGCTTTTTAGGTCTTAACAGAAGGAATAAAATATAAAACATAATCAGATTAAATTACTACTAAATCAAATATACTACTAACTAATACAAACTACACAGTAGATGCTCGCTAATCCAGTTTAGGAATTTGGCAATTCCGGATGATTGAAATTCTGGATTAGTTAGCGTGAAAACAGCCCTTATTGCTAGACTATCCTGAATACCACAAAGCGTTAGATGGTGTACAGTAAAGTTCGCTGTTTTATTATGCTTTATTTTTTTTTTAGTTACATAAAATACAAAATTTTATAAATTAAAATAACTTAACGCCCTTGAATTTAATTGAGTGAAACCTACGTCTGCCAATTGCATGAAACTCTGCCAAACATATTTCATAAAATATTTGGTATACTTTAAGGCCAATGCCGGATCATTGAAAGTGCCACACCATCAGATGCCGGATTAGTAGGTGGTTTTACTGTAAAAGGAAATATACAGCGGAGTCCCGACTATCTGAACTTTGGTCATCCGAAAGTTCGCCAAATCCAAAACAAAAAAAATATTTTTTAAAGTGTCTTTTAAGTTTTTTGATTCTTTTTTCTTTACCCAATTTGTGCTGTCACTTATCATAGAAACAAAAAATGATGACCCAGTACGTGATGTCACCCATTGGGAAAAGCCGAAACTGCTAGCACTGTCGTGTAACGACAGTTATTTGTACCTCTTCGAAGTATTCTGTAGCGACAGGGCGAGATAGAAGTGTTGTATAGAGTATGTTAGTAAAACTTTTGCCATTTTTTTAGTAAATATTTTTAATTTTCACCCCGGATTCCAATCCCGACAAATCACCAATGGAATTTATTTAAGTGATAATGCCACAACCCCCAGGTCTAGCCTAAAGTAATGTGAAAAACAATCCTGGGCTCATGCCTAGTGCCCTAGGACAATGAAAATTTTTTAATGAAGAAAAAATTAAAAAAAAAATAAACAAAAAAAAAACGTTTAATCTTAAACATTTGGTAATCCGAAATGGGTCCGGTCCCAACCATTTCGGACTATCGGGACTCTACTGTAATTCAAACATGTTTTTTTCCTATAATAAAATATATTGAGTTATCAGTAGGATATTAATTTGAGACACCTTTTTTTATACATTTTCCTAAAAACATGGTCACAACACAAGACCAGGACAAAACAGATACATTAAAAAGAGCTCAGATATTGCACACTATTTTATCCAGACAATCTAATTAAATTTTATGAGATTTAATAATAAATTGATGTGTATCACCCCCCTCCCCCCCCCCCCCAATGGATGTGTCTGAACTCAACAACTCAAAAGTCATTATGAGATAACTTTGTGTACATTCTATAAAATTGAATGATACGCTGATTAACTTACATGTTGCACTACGATCCATTTTGAAGAGTGGTTCAGAGGAGAAGCCTGCACGGACTTCATAGCACTGAAATAATTTTAAAATTAACCACTATTGTGCATTTTGGAGTCTAAGAAACAATTACTTACAATTCAATACTCGTGACGGAGAACACTTAATTTATTTGTTGGATCAGCTAACTACTAAGTAATTAAGTTTCACATCAATTGATTAGGCTATATAATAATTAATTTAGCCTAAATAATTAAATTAGTTACTTGAACTAGCCGTAATATAGGACAAAATGTACATGAAATTTTAATGAACTTTATCTCATGAAACAATAACAGGGGGTACAATTCCGCAGAGAACCTAGTCCCAAGTTGGTTAAATAAAAAATAAAAAAATTTAAAATGGATCTACAAAACTTTGCACAAAGTTGCTGGACATAAAATAATCTATTTTATAAAATATTCAGTTATCCCCTACTTAATCAGGAGGATGGGCTCGCTAGGAGTCAGAAAAAAATCTTAAATGTAAACATAGGTTGACGATATTCATATCAAATTAAAGGTCTTTACTACTACTAGAATACAAATACAGCAAACCCGACCTCAAACGGGCAACTGAGTCAAAAATGGCAGCCATTCAAAGATTTCTTGAATCGGCCATTTTGAATCTTTGAACGGCTTTGACTCAGTTGGTCTTTTTTGAGCTCAAATTCCGGCATTGTATTCTACTATTAAGACTTTTAATTTGATGTGTATGTCTATGTATACATTTATGATTTTTTTTCTGACTTCTAGCGGGCGCCCCTTGGGGAGATAGCATATAATATCATTGCAGATTCAATGCATCCTTGAATAACTGTCATTTTTTACTCGTTTATCCATTTGAAATCCGGTTTACGGCTCTGTTCTCTACTAAAAGACCTATTATTTTATATGCATATATCAACCTTAGACTTAACCTTACATTCGCTTACATTTAAGATTTTCTTCTGACTCCTAGCAGGCCGTCCCCCTGAGGAAGTAGCGGATAACTGAATATGTGATAAAATAGATTGTTATGCCCAGTGACTATGTACATTTATTAAACACCAATAAAACGTAAACATATCATGAATCAATTTGAAGTTTACATCGTGAAAAAATTTTGAGGTGATATAATATATTGAACCAAATTTTAATCACTAGTAGCTGCTGTAACTGTGCTTCGCAACGGGAAGATGTACTATACTGCCTAATCCAACTCACCGCCTAATCCAAACACTTGGTTAAGTACAGGGTGCGGCAGAAAAACCGATCTATTTTCTGCAGCACACTATTCAGCGACAGGCCGTCTGAGAGTAGTCGGAGTAGGCTCGTTGGAAAGCCTACACAATGCAATTTTTGTAGTCATAGAACAGTGGTCACCTGAGCTACGTGCGGTTGTTATCGAGTTGTTAAAAAAAAGTATTGATTCAGTCATTACAACTCAGTGGCAGTTCCGTGCATTCATTCAATTAGGTCGACATGGAGAGGTTCTGTGTGATATTGTCTGTATGGATAATTAACCAAATTAACCATATTATTATTCTAATTAATCTGTAGGGATGAAATTTTACCTCATAACTCATGTAACTTAGCGGTCAGAAATGTTCAATGCAGCCGCTTGTTTTCGGGCGGACCTATGAGGACTGTTTTCCACACCAGCACGAACTCTATCTAAAGCCAGATGTCTGGCATCCGATCTCACCTTGGACAACCTGTCAGCTTCCTTTTGAACAAAGAAGCAGTTTATTTTAAGTTAGTAACGCACTGAATGATTGGGCTAAGCAACGGAACCTCTCCATGTCGTTAAATACGACTCAATAACAAACGCAAGTATCTCAGGCGACCACTGCTCTATGACTGCATATAATGGCATTGTGTAGGCTTTTAAACGAGCCTACCCCCAACACCCTCGGACGACCTGTCACTTATAATAGATTGTTTTTTTTGCTGCACCCTGTAGTTTAAATTTATAAACAAATACCCACAGTGCAGCGGCATTTTTATAATAAAAATGAGAAGAACTGTAGCCCACCCACAACAAGATGTCTGCTATTTATATTAATTTTAATACCGGAAAGCAACGTAGCTAACAAACTAGTTATATTTTTAAACAACACGGTTCTTTAGATGAGGTACATTTAAATAGATAATTTCAAGCCTCACTCACCTATTTGAAAACTGGAGAACTCAGTCCTTTTGTCACCACAGTTCATAATACAGACAAATATACACATTTTAAATACAAATAAAATATTTTAAAAATAGACTAAGTTCTCAGTTCCGACATTTCGCAGCACCAAGTCAACGTGGAGCGTTTTCAATGTACTTTTTGCTTCTCTTGTAAACGTTGACTTGGAAACGACGGAACTGAGAACTTTAGTCTATTATTTATTTTTTCATTTGTATTTTAAATGTGTGTTGTGTTTGCGTATGTTATGAACTGTAGAGACAAATTGCTGAGTTCTCCTGAGTTTTCAAAAAGGTGAGTGACGCCCAAAATTATTTGTAGGCTATAAATATCTACAATAAATTATATCAGTAAACCCCATACTATTTGCACTTTTTAAATGTAGCAGTTAAATTTAAAATTTAATTAAAAAATAGTCTCAATGTTATTCTGAGTGTACAAAAATACTACACAAGTACCTCATCCCGCCATCCTTTCAGAGTAATAAAAGTTCCTTGGGCGCGACATTCTTTTAGGACTTCCTCAATCTTGGCAGATCGTTCTGTGTAGTCTCTGAAGGCTGGATTTAAAGTAACACAGTTCTTTTGGAAACTGAAAACTTCTGGATATTTGGAAAGTTTTGATAAAACATTAGGTCTGATCAGTCCAACTTGTCTGCCTGCCACGATAAATGGCCAGCTATCACCTTTCTGTAAGCCTGAAAAAGTATAGGCTAATTAAGTAATAACATAGATCATTTTACAAGTAGGCCTACAGGTATTAACCCTCCGAGTGTCCCTAGTTTTGGCCTTAATGTTTGCCTATTTTTTGCGCATTTGCAAGGTTTTATTAAAACGGATCTGAGAAGCTTAAAAACAATGTTAATTATACTGTTCTATATACCATTTTGTTTGGAAAATCATGGGCTTCAATATTAGGCATATACATAAAACATAAGGAACATTTGTTTCAAAAAAATTTGTAGGTAAAAAAAATACTTTGGAAAATTAAAAAAAAAAAAAAAATAAGTTTGCGCTAATTAAATTGTATAAATTATAGGCCTATAAATATTTGAAAATAGCCACTTTGTTCTAAATTTTATGAGGATTACAAATATAATATAAGGAAGTAGATTTGCAAATAAATAAGTTATGGACAAAAAGCAGATTTCAGTACATATCGTTTAGCTAAGAATGCATAGCCTAACCATAGCTAGGAATCTGGCTGATAATTTACATCAATATCACTACCTACTTCTTCAGGATCATCAACCAGCCCTTCAAAATCACTTAAATCTTCTTATAATGCACCACGTATATCACTACTTTTGATTTTTAACACTAAAACAATGATAATCGTAATAAAACACATCAGTCATCGGTGCGAGGTTAACCAAGCTGTTTACAAATACGCACAACAGCTGTCTGCACAATTATGATCGGCTCGAGAAAAAAAAGCGCTTAGAGACAGACCTCGGGAGAAAGCTTAGAATCTGCCAAATAAAACGATACCATATGTACCTAACTCGATTCAGTTCAATCCGATTTTGTCAGTCATAGAGCCTTCGCCGTAAACAGTGTTTACACTCGGAGGGTTATAATGCTCACATTACAAGTAGGATATTGACTACACTGTGTCAAATTTTTCTTTGGTTAGTTCACAATAATCATTGTGAACGTCCGATTACGACATGTTAAAAAATTACATAAATATAAACCGACTGCCCCACCTATATGCCACAACAATGTAATTCTTTACCACATACCGCAATCCCAAATGTGCGCCAGTGTCCCCGCCTTATTTAAATACGTCTCAGATTGTATCAAACCATTGTTATGCCTTGATATTTTATATTGGTTGAAGATATACGACACATAATATGGGTCTCTGGATTTGACAATTAGTGTATTCATATTTAATTTTAGTTTAGTCACTAAAAAAAAAAAACAAATTTTAGGCTGTCGAAGAAGTTTGGTTGGGTTGGGTCAGGTTAGAACAGTGAATCATACCTAACCTAACTAACCAAATTTGTGTTTTATCCAAATTTATATAAGTTAGCGTGTGATCAAAAACCTTTTTTAAATAGACCTATTGTATTTTTCATTATTTATTACTGTACCCTTAAAAGGATTTGAATTAGTTTCTTGACCTAGAGATGTATTAAGTTATTTTAGGTAGCTATAAGTAATTTCGCAATTTAACATGTTCACTGCACACCTAAGAGCTATTTAAAGAAATAAACTGCATTAACTTACTTAGATCCAACAGGACTGTCATCACAAAATCCGCTTCAGCTATCATTGACCTTAATGACAGGACGAGTCTATTGAACTAAACTTATTCAAATGAGTTTTCTACTGTTTCTATTAAAACTTTATCACAAAATCTTATGAAGTTCAGATTAACAAGTTCAATGCGGGTGCAAGTAATCTCGTCACCTCCGGTGCTGCCAAGCGGCGCGCGACGAGTATGCTCTTCAAAGCACCACTGCAAAATTTACTTATTGCCTTGATGTATGAGCTGAGCCGTCGTCGAAGGATGTTGTTTTTCATTGCGCTGTGTGTAAACTTAGTAGGTAGTCCTTTGTGGTTCCTCGGGCAGCGGCGTTCCCGTCGCGCACGGTTTTTGTCATTTGTGTAGGATAACTTACCTTATGTTTTTGTGAGTTAGTGTGTTATAAGTTGTGACCTAGGCGTTGTGCAATTGTGAATAAATATGGTGAATTTTTCACAAATTGTTGACTTTCCCACTGAAGATAAGCTAAGTTAGGAGATACGGACAACAGCCATTTATGTCACAAACTAAGGATTACTTTTTGTGTCACATGCATCGGTTCTACATGGCAGCCGGACGATGCGAGGCATGACGAGTTTTCCGTAACAAATGATGACGTTATATACCTATCTCGTCAATAATAATTGACAAATTTTGACGAAATAACGCCAGATCCTCATCTAAGACGACATTTGATAACTTGTAATTATGAGTTTAGCTAATATTTTAATATTTTAGCTATACTAATGATATAGGGCCGAGCTAATTTTGGTGCCGCATTGAACGTGTTTACTTAGCTTGTAAAAGGATTGGTAGGCTAACTACTTCTAACTTAACAGTTCAGTAAAACACAGCAATATAGTCTAACTTAGGCTAAGCCCAGGGATGGTATTTAACAAAATCTTTATCTGTTAGTGAATGTAGGCCTATCCCTCCTTTAATAACTTAAAATACATAATATCTAACTTAACTTACCTGAGAGATAAAAACAGTTGAATTGTTGAGCAAGCTTAAATAATCGAGAAACCGAAATATCTTTGCCGGCCATCGTATCTAGGCCTATAAATTATTTCACAAAAATAACTTACAATAGCCTTCTCTTCGTTAACCAATACTGCAATCAAAATTGTTCATTCGCTGACAAGATAAATCACTAAACCGCAGTACGAATCCATATCTATCACAGGGAACAAAGCCCTCTTGGCCTTGGCACTTGGTCCTGGGTCCTGCTCCTGGGTGGCTAATCCCTATTCCCTTCCCTACTAAACTAAACTTCGTCCGTCTTCTATCTATTCTATCACCTATTATTCTATTATTTAGTCCAAAAATGCAGTAGCACACTAGCACAGCAGCAGTAGCAGAAGCTTAGTAAATGCAAGGAATAGATGGAATGAAGATTGGAGACTGGACTGGACTGGAGCTTGAGCTTGGGACTTGGGACTGGGAGAGGTTAGTTTGGGTTGGGTTTGGGACAAGCAAAATGAGAATTGAATTGACAGGACACTGGGAGTACTGGGACAGACAGGGAGAGAAGGTAATGAGATTAATAAAAAGAAGGATATGCTCACGATTACTAGAAAAATATTTTTCTAGTAATCGTGGATATGCTCAAAAGGAAAAGGTAGGTAGCTTTAGTATGAAATAAACAATCTACCCCCGCCACAGCAAACCTGCAAACTAAGCGAATTTCCATTTGCCTAGATGGATTTACACTAAAATGTCTCCAATATCACATTTATCCCCAATTTAAATAGCTTTAGTTTAACTGAGCACTTAGGTTTGATGCAACAAGGAGGGTAAAAGGTGTTTTTTTTTAAATAGCTTAATATGAAATGAATGCAAACTTGATCAAAATATTCTCAACAAGAAAACTACCTACAACAGTTTACAATTTTCTATATAAGAATAACATGGGAATTTTAAATTTACAATTTTTTGAATTTTCTCCTTAGCCATTAGGCGCATAGTAACGCTTCGAAATACTAAATTGTTTGTTTTTCAAACTCTACAAAATGGTTTGGAAAGAGGTTGCTAAATGTTATGTTTTAGGGGAACAAAATTAAAATCAAATTTTTACCACATAAAACCCCCCCATAAACCCCCGTTCCCGTAGTCCAATCATGCTGATTCGTTAACCCCTTTGAGTAAACGAAGATTTACTCGTTTGTACCAAAATTTAATCAAAATCGGATCATATTTGCTCGATTATCACGCTAACGGACATACATATTTACATCTGAACAGAGGAGGTTTTTGGCCTCTGGGAACCTCAAAACGAAAAGGAAATCGGTCCTGGGTCTAGGTCTTACCTTGAGACCTACGGTGATAGCTTATATTCCCTATATGAGAAATTCGCTAAATCTTACCACCACACACCTTTTATTTAAACGTATAATCTCCAAATCTACTGATCAGATGCATCTTTTTAGAAGGATTTACTTCAATGTAAAAGTAAATGGCGAGTTTTATTAATAACCATTTACTTAAGTCATGAGCAAAACCTCAACTTTCTATGGATTACCTTTCCCTTGTAAAGCAAAAGGTTTTGCTTTAGTTTTTATTAATACAGATAGAAGGATTTGATCAAATTTTCGCAAGTAAAAGGTTTACCTCACATTTATTAATACGGCTCAATGAAATCACCTACAGTACGACGAAATTTAATACAACACAATAAAACATTGACTTTGGATATTATTTACGGCAAAATCCCGATTTTTACAATCAATTGAATGCAAGAAAATATACTAAGCAGTACAAGGCAATAGGCCTACCATATGCGTACAATAAATTTTACGTCGTGTTACATGCAAATGTCTGCGTATGCTTGGATGTAATAAATTATTTACAGTATAATCACGGCCGCCTTTAACTCCTAATATTTTATGGCACAATTTTACTGGCTGGGTATCTGAGTGGATATAGTGCTCGCCTAGTAATCCAAAGGTCGCCGGTTCAATCCCGAGAAAAGTCAGCAGCTTTTTGATGGTTCGAAACTGGACCCAGCTGTTCCTGATTGATCATTGGGCTTTAAATAAATGATCCTGACTAATGAAACCGCTGATCTTAGTCAGTAACAAAGCTACACAGGTCATCACACACACCAATCCGTCACTAATATTTGGGTTAAATTACGCACCTAGGTGGCGTCCCCATCTCAATGATTGATAATTTATAATTGCTTCAAGACTGTGATGCAAAAAACCGCCACACCAAGGCATTTAAGCCGAATATCGCAAGGTGAGTGTCCGTTCCTCGTGTTTTTGGGTGCTGTAGAATTGGTTAGGTACCATTTGATAAATGACAATTGGGTGATAATGATTTTAACGCCAGAACTGTGTCTAAAACACCGAAACTAAGATTGTATCGTGGCGTTTAATTCTTTAAGGCTTAGTACCCCAATTTCGAAGATTCAATGAGCGCTCAATGTTGCAATGCCATATTTCACTTCACTACAATCACGGCCACCTTCAGAAGTGGCAACATAGCAATAAGTAGTGTTGCAACAGCTGTTTTGTTTGGAGGCAGGTAATGATATTTGTGTATTTTTTAAGAATATGAAAGCTTGGTTACTCTGGGCTATGATAATACTGACAACACTTTAAATGTACAAAATAGATTTCCAACTTGGCCAAATAGATTTCCAAATAGATCAAACTTGGCAAATTTATTCATTTTATACTGAGCTTTTAATGTTTTACTAAAAACCACACTTTATTAGTTTCCTTGTAGCAGAAAACCTAGGTACTCGTTAAACCTAATGTTATTTAAATGGATTTAATAGAAAATGAATTAAGACAAATGGAAATTCGCTTAGTCGGCAGGTTTGCTGCTGCGGGGGTACTGTTTTGACTTTTGACTGTTCTTGAGACTCGGACCAAGGACCCCATTAGAAACTAGAAAGAAAAACGTTTCTCTAGTGTAGTGCTGTGCTATAGTGTGGCCATAGATGAGCTCGGACTTTGACTTGACAGTTTGTGTTTTTTTGTTTTGCGTTTTGTTGTCTTTTTTTCAGGGAGTGCACTGAGTGCAGTCTTGAACTTGAACCGTCGACCGGATTTGGTCTGGACCGTTGCTGTCAAGAAGTGTCATTGGTGCCTGTCACTTTTCGTCTAACCTTATTAAGTTTAGTTAGTTAGATGTCGATATTTTGTTTATTGCTATGATAACGATTTAATGTAGCCCTACGGATTAATTACTATTAAATTCAATGGATAATTTTGAAGACTCAGCAGTCTTAGAAGTATCTTCTGAGAGTAAAACCCCGTTTTCTTTAAAAACTGAGAGTCGAGATTCGATCACGGATGTGTCAAACATCAGCACTAGCATAGATGGCTCACTGGTAATATTACTTTGTGCCGTACTTAGAAATAGTATATCCGGAAGTAGTATGAAATATTACTATTTAGTACTTTGATCATAATTATGAATATCAGATCTTTCACTAAACATAAACAGTCTATTTCCCTTTGTTTGATTTCCTTAGATAATAGCCTTAAGCCTTCAGTGAATTGTGGCTAGTAAAATTACCCTGTTTAAACCCAAAGTAGGCCTAGGGTACTTTGGTATTATACGGAGGCCACTTATTTTACAGCACGCTGCGGCGGTTATGTTAGGTTGGGTAAGGCTGCACTTTACTTTAGGTTCCACACTCATTCGAATGAAAATATCGATCGATATATCGATTAATTGATTGTTTCATTCGATATATCGTTTGGTTAGTTAGGTAGGTTAACCTAACCAAACGATATATCGAATGAAACAATCGATATATTCATCCGAATGAGTGTAGGACCTAAAGTAAAGTGCAGCCCCTAATATAACTGCCGCAGCACGCTGTATATTATAGGCGAGAGTTAAGAAGTCCTCTGAGCCAGAGTGATATGCAGCAATGTTTGTATGTTGACGCGCGGTATTTTCAGATGCTCTTTTGGTTTTATCGCAGTGGATGTGAGCCTTGACTGCCGCGTGGAACATGAGTAACCCGCCCGGCGCGCCTAGCCGTCGAATAGCAAGCGCCTGCATTTTTAGAATCTAGGCCAGGACTCAGAGGACTTCTTAACTCTCGACTACAGTAAGAATGGCCTCTGTATAATATAATACCAAAGAACCTAGGTGCCTGCCCTATTTCAACCATGATTATTGAATAATAATTGTATAATCTGCAAGGAAAAGTGGCCGGTTTTTACTAATTAAGGGTATTTTTTCTGATGACAAAAAACTTAATCTATTGATTTAACAATTTCTCTTACGTGTGTAATATGAGGTTTTTTTTATCAAGTTAACTTTACTTACTTATAGGCCTGACTAAGGTACCGTACCTTCCTGTTAAAGGGAACATTCATTATTATCAATGATTTCTTTTTGATATATAAATATTTTTGTTTTTCTCTCTTAAACATTAAGTTAGATTGACTTAGATATAGTACATATAAAATGTAGTTAGTTGGTTAGGTTAGTGTAGAACAGTTTCATTTCAATATTATATTATTTTTAAATTGTTTCTTGATACTGAACAACATTATTTTTCTATTCTTATCGTAGTTGTCAGTTTAGCTGATATGTTTCAATTTGTTAATATCAATAGGGCCTAGACACAGCATTGCATGAAAAATAAAATAGGCTAGGCCTATCGATATATCGAAAAGAAATCATCGATAATAATGAATGTTCCCTTTAACAGAAAAGTACCCTGACTACACATAGACTACTATACCTAAACTTATTTATTTTTCAGGTACAATCTTTGTCCCTCGAAAGTTTTTCCTTTGCCAATGAATTAGATGGATTTGATTCTGGATTAAATGGCAAAGACCTTCAAGTACGAGTTGATAACCCTCAAAAACATTTGGACTCATTAGAAACATACATAACATTTCGAGTCACCACTCGGGTAAGTAAAATTTGTGAATCTTGTATTCCCCTGCTTTAGGCCACCATAGCATATGGTTTTAAAATTTAGTTTGACAAAGGCCTACTCATTATACCTGTACACGCTATGGGCTTATTGTGCATGTTGCTTCCATTTTTAGTGATTTTCCTATAATAGAGAATAAGCTAGGCCTATTAACTTAGCATACCGTAGGTCTCATAGTAATACCTGGTGCCAGGCCAGGACCAATTCACGTTTTCGTTTTGATGGCCCTAGATGCAAAAAACACCATTCAATCCATGGCTGCCCAGTCATAACAAAACTTCTGACCATGCCGCGCCGTGTGTGGAACTAGTTCCCGAATTTAAGTTAGGGACTAATTGTCTGTCGGTATGTTTCAAGTTTTATTTAGGTAAATGTTAGTGTCTTTGTGTGTTCTTAAATCTCGAAGATCTCGCAAAAGTGACAACAAGAGCCTAGCCTGATGATGAGGTTATAACCTCAAAACCGGTAGCTGCTCCCTACAATAAAATTTAGGATTACAAATAGAATCAGGTAATTTTACACAATTTTAATATTAAAATGGTTTACAATACCATATAGTAATAGTTTGCTGCTGTCTCGGCCACTAAGTTTTGGTTACCGTACGTGGAACCATCATCGCCCCTCAAGGTAAAATCATTGACTATACTCAGAAAAATATATCCATAAACAAGCAAGGTATAGCAGTTTTATTCTCCATAAGGATAACTTGGGAATTTCAATTTTTTTTTAATTTTCTCCGTAACCAATAAATTGTACCAAAACACTTCAATGTATATTAAATTATTTGTTTTTTAAGCTCTTTGAAATTCCTTAGAGAGAAATTAGAAAATTTTATGTTTTCAGGGTAAATTATTAGAAAACCCCATTTTACCCTATACATAGTCAAATCCATAGTCCAATCATCCTGGTTTGCAAACTCATTCTATAAAACGTAGGCTTACACTTTTGTACCTAATTTAATCAAAATCAGATCATTTTTGTTTAAGTTATCGCGCTAACGGACATATAAATATATGAATTTGAACGGAGAAATAAAAAAAATATACTATTTTAAGTTCTTTTAAACTAGTGTACTAGGTTTTCATTGATTCTATAAGGTGTTTGGTTTTTGTTTATTTTTTGTGCAATTTATTGCAATATTTTTCAGACTTCCAGAGAGGAGTTTTCTGAAAATGAATATGTGGTGAGACGTAGATACAATGATTTTGTATGGCTGCGGCAAAAGCTTATTGAAGAATTTCCTACTCATGTCATTCCAGTAAGTAAGCGTTTTAGAAATAACGCCTCACTATAGCGCCTTGAGATAGGAGTAATATGGTAGACTCCCTCTTATCCGGACACCTTTTAACCTGACATCCGTTTAACCGGACTTCACTCAATGGAAATGACATCTCTTTAACCTGACAATTTTTATCAGCACATTGGTTTAAACGGCCTAGATGAGCAGGAAGTGGGCGGTTCTGAAAGTCTGTTCTCGTAGGAAAGATTTGAGACCAGTGATCACTTGTCTAAATACAATGCTCTCCTAAATTTAAGTCAAAAACTGTATGCAGTATGCATTTAAACGGTCCGTTTTAACGTGTTTTTGGGGACGTCGGTTTAACCGGAAAAACCATCCGCACTGGCCTCAGTCCCAAGGAGTCCAGATAAGAGGGAGTCTACTGTACCTAGTTAAATAATGTTAACGCGTAGAATTTTTGAATACATATTTTAAAACTTATATAACCTGTTATTATTCAATGTTAAAAATTTAGATTTTAAGAATTTTTAACTTTATGTTAAATAATCTCCATTGAAACTTTGTATTTACGATGTAAATGATATTGTAGATCATCTCACCAGCCATCGGACTGTAGAGTGATGTACACACGTGTTATATTATGTATTATTGACGATGCCTTATATGTAATTAATTGTGTAAAAATGTGATAAAGAGTTGGACTTTGATTTGAGGCTCCCGGCAACCTCACAAAAACTGAATGCTCTCATGAACCTGTGAACATAGCCTGTTTGTTTTGAAATTCATTCCTTCCTGTAGATACTATTTATTTTAGCAACAAAATTTAAATTGTTAGTAGCCTTGATTTTTCTGAGTATCACAAGCATCTAGTTGTGGTACTGCAGCAATGAGTCAGAAAGGAACTCTTGGCTATCAGATTTTATGGAATCATTTGAAACAATCATCTGGTCTATTTTTTTTTACCGACTAGGAATTTTGTCATACATACAATTTTTTGATACTTGGTATCCATTATAGAATATCAATCACAATCACAGTATCAATACCCTTTAATATTGATAGTGTCAGTGTCGCAACATCCCTATGCCAGACTACATTTATTTCCTTGTAGTTGCTTTGAAAGAGGGGGAGACTGTCCTTGAACTCTTGGTTATTATGGTTAAGTAGCCAGGTCAACTTTTGTAATATTATGGCTTAGCCATTTTGATTAGTAGGACCTGAGTTTATATCTAGTTTATATGATTTATAAACAAGTTATAGTTTTTACACCAGGGACTTGCCTATAATTTAATACACTTATCAAAACTGCTAGTATAGCCTACTTCTGTATTAGTAAATGAGTACCTATATTATATCTGTGACAAATGTGAATGAGTTTCTTCACTGAATTAATGCCATACCACAGAGCAAGTGACTTTGATTTCTTGCATGATCTCTGTTTATTGATAGTTGCTGTGGATTATTGCTAAATCGATAGTTAGTGGCAATTGAAGCCACAACTTATACATTGATTAACACACTTAAAATATTCTATAGCCTGTAGCTACTATCAGTATACATTTACCACGGGATAAGCCGTTGTTGTTATAATATAAGGCTTGTCTTCAAATCTGAAGGTCGCTGGTTTGTCTCAAAGCGAGATGGTCACCTAATCCAAAACAATTTGGCTCTCAATTAACAATAAACTATGTAATAAAAGGTCAATGTTAGATAAGACCAGGGATTGGAATGTTCCCTTACGAAAAAATTAAAAATGCCAATGGTGTGAGTAACACAAAAATAAATTTGTACTTTTGCTCACTCCTGTTTGTTTTGCAGCCGCTACCAGCTAAACACTCGCTTCTTGCTCAGTTGGATAGATATTCTAGGGAGTTTGTCATCTGCAGGATGGCAATGCTACATAGATTCCTCAACAGAATTGTAAACCACCCGATTCTCAGCTCACATTCCACTGTCCATGTCTTTCTTACAGCTAAGCCTGCAGTAAGTATGATTGTTATAACCCATTTGTTATACAGGGTGTCCGAAAAATAATGCCAGGATTTTGAACGGCCGTTGCTTGGGTGTTATTGAAGATAATTGAACGATTTAGAGGTCAAATTAAAAGGAACGGAAGTGTTTTTCAAACTTTGATATAATTTAAATAAATTTAATGAAATTTTGAGTGTCTTATATGAAGTCTTATATGAATGTAAAACTGCCTCTATAGCAGTGTTGGGGAAGCTACTTTTAAAATGTAGCTAGCTACAACTACTGCTACATTTCCAAAAAGTAGCTTAGCTACAGCTACAGCTACAGTTCCGAGAAAGTAGCTAGCTACAACTACAGCTACAATGAAATGTAGCTATAGCTACAATTTTAGCTACTTTTCCTGTAAAATTAATTGCAACTATGTAAACCTAACGTTACAACAACAGAACCAAAATAAGTTAGTTGGGTGTTCCATCATATTTAGTGCTTGTTTTTAAATATGGCATTATTTTTAAGCATATTATATGTAAATTTCATTAGCCTAAGTTCAAAGGACATACAAACAAACTATATTTTAAAAGCCCATTTCATTTCTTTAATCTACATTCATTTATAGATTCTTTTATCAACTATTAAAACAATAAAACTGTAAAAATATTATTCAAAAATACTTTTTTGTGTTACAGAGCCTAGCCTAATGAAATTGGAGTTAATTGCCTTTCCTTATTTTTAATGTTAAAAACTACATTTCTATAACTTTTACCCATAGTAATATGTTACTTGTTCTATGAATAACACTTTTCAATGTTGTGTGTGAAATCGTCCTTTGTCAAATTATGCATAGGTCAAATTGTGCTTCAACAAACGTTGGTGCAGAAAACAGTATTCAGCAGCTTATCCTGAAATCGGCTTTTAATTTAAACATGTTGAAAATTGTTAAGTAAAAATAACATTTAGGCGTAGCCTACTTGGCTTTGTACAACAAATTGGCTATAGTAGGCTTGTTCTTACAAGGCCTAAACATACATATTCCTATTAATTGAACTTGATATTCGTATTAATCCAATAGCATAGCCTAGGAATAGTCCTTGACAAGAGCTGTTAGCAGGAGCAAACTACCGTATGCTACTTTTTTAATGCAAGTTTCATGTTATATGGAGATTTTTTTGTTACAATTATTATGTATTCTAGGCCTAAGCATATCTTACATCTCATCAGGAAATTTACTCTTCGTTCATTTAGTAAACCTTTGAAAAATCTTTGTAATCTAACCAAGGAAGGGCTTGTGATGGTGAACCACAATCAACAGATGAAGCAAAGGTTGATAGACCAGCTTTCTCATTATTTTTAGGTTTAGTGTTGGTTTCCATTAAAACCCAAGTTTAAACTAAATTTATACAATAAAGAAACTAAATTGATTACTAATTTCCCTTCCCTGACAATCACTTGAAAGCATTCAATAGCTTCTCTTGTCACCGGTACGGTAACGTTTAATTAAACGTCGTCTGCAGCTAGCAATTTTATTTTATCTGACAGTAATCATAGAGTAGCAAATGAAGGAAATGAGAGCCAAACATGTGGATAACACTCAGATAATAGCCTCCATGTCCACGCAACGTTTTAATAGGTAATGACACGACTGTGACCAGCTGTATGAAGCCAAGAAAGTAGGCCTAACTTTTTTGAAAATCTCAGTTTGAAAAAGGTTGTTTCACGTAAGGTTGTGATAAAAATCACTATCTCAATCAATGTTAATGTAGCGAGAAAAGTAGCTAAAATTCCGCTACAACTACTTTAAAAATGTAGCTAGCTACAGCTAAAGCTACAAAATCTTAAAAGTAGCGTAGCTACAGCTAACGCTACAAAAAAAGTAGCGCGCTACTGTAGCGTCGCTACTTGTAGCGCGCTACTTCCCAACACTGCTCTATAGGCTAAGTCTATAAGATTAGACCGATCAGCGGGTTTGATCTATTGTCTTAACTGAATTTTGTTTTGAGGCATGAAGTCTCAAGATTTCACAAATAACTATTCACTGAAGGAAATTATTTTTTTCAGGCTTCTGATACAGGATTGTCAGATTTATTTTGGTCATCACTTGTTTTTTGGCCGACCAGGTGAATCTCCTTTCAAATCACTTTGTGTCAAAAAACTGATTAAACCAGTGACAAATTGCTTTATCATCGGGTAAATTATAATTTTGTTTAATTTAACAAAAGATTTACACCCTGACCCTGTGTCTTCTGTTGTGTCGTAACCATCGAACTGACGTCAGGCTTGTGAGTCACAATGGCGGCCTGCCTCCACGCACCTGTCCTGCGCTTGCCAAGTTTAACGTTTCCTCCCTTGCTACATGGAAAAAAATACCTTATTATTTGAACTTCAATTTAACGTTTAAATCGTTGAGTTATCGTCAATAGTCCCCAAGCAATGACCGTTTAAAATCCCGCCAATCTTTTTTGGATACCCTGTAATGTAGTGGTCTTTGTGTGTTTTCGTAACTAGTGGTTAGCTGCTTAGACAATGGTACCAGAGGGTAATTTTATCAGTTTCCCAGGAAAATGGAAATTTATTTAACCGTAACATGATAAAGTAATTATAGAAGTGAAAGAACTTCAACTTTTGAAATACGATAGTTCTGTTACATTTTATGAAGAGATGATACTGAGGAAGACTATTTACAAACATTTAAATTTGTAACTTTTTTGGAAAAAAAAAATCTTTTACATTTCGTTACTTTTGATCGTTTCCCCGTACATTTTGTTATTTTTGATCGTTTCCCCCCTAGGAATTCCAGATGCACCGTAAAAACTCAGGCAGCTTAATAGGAAGAATGACAGGCTCTCTTCAGCAGTTTGCCAACTCCTACGTCTGTCACAAGAACGAGCCTGAGTTTGAAGCCGTTAAAGATTATGTTGAAGTCCTTTCGGAAAAACTGTCCACCCTTGAAAAGATCGGGGAAAGAATCAATAAAGAACGGAAAGGTATAGTTTTTCAATAATATATTTGAATTTTGGATTTCATGTACTTTTGTTGTTTATACAACTATCAGAATACACTAGTATAAACCTTAAGATTACAACAATTAAAACGGAAAGTAAATAAAAGAAACGTCTTATAACACTTAAAACATATATTTACGCTTATACTGTTACTCACAAGACGGTAAATATACAAAAACGATGGTAAGTGGTGATCGATTTCGATTGGACACTCCAATCATCATCAGACCCAATAGGCGATGTTTTTGTATATTTACCGTCTTGTGAGTAACAGTATAAGCGTAAATATATGTTTTAAGTGTTATAAGACGTTTCTTTTATTTACTTTCCGTAAATTTAATAACACGTACAATGCTGATCAAGAAGTTATTTAACAATTAAAACAACATAAACACTCTGCTGTTTTAGAACTATTTGAATAGACATAGCCATTTCTACCATTAATTAATAGAGGATTTTATTATATCCAAAACGAAGTTTGGTCTCTTTTAATTTCTTTTCTCATTATTAAATTAGAAGAGGGCTAACATACAAATTTGCCTGAGAACTTCGCTGAATTAAGGAACAGATATATTTACTATCAGAATAAACTTAGTATATCTGTTCCTTAATTCAACAAAGTTCTCAGGAAAATTTTGTGTTTGCCCTCTTCTAATTTAAGAATGAGAGAATAAATTAAAAGAGACTAAACCCCGCTTAACATAATTGAAAGGGACAAAGCCGTTTTGGATAAACAAATTCTCTATTAATTAATGGTAGAAATAGAATGGTCATTTGCTCCATCGCGTTGGCCAAACTGGTCCAACTGGTGCTAATGCGGACAGTTTCCTTTGCATAGTTCATTTTTTGGTACCTATAATAGTTTTATACTTTTATTGGTTTTGATTAACTGGGATTTGGTGTCAAGGTACGGTATATCAAATAAAAGGTATCAGCAATCAATCAATCAATCAATCTTTATTTGCCATAAGGATACATTTACATATCATTGACAAAGTCTATTTGCAGTTTTCAAACCAAGTCTTAAAATAAACAACAAAATACTCTAACAGGCCAAATATTACAATTAACATTCAACTCCATTCACATTCTTAACTGAAATTTAAACCAAACTAAAGGACAATTTCTCCCAGTTTAAAATAATCATCCAGACTATAAAAAGGGTTCTGAAGTAGATAATTATAAAACATAGCCTTAAATTTGTTAATTGAATGAAAATTTATATTATTTTTTACTGAATTATACACTTTAATTGATAAAATTTGTGGCAATTACTAGTTTTACTAAGACGATGGGATTCTAACAGCGCAGTATTTTTAAAACGAGTGTTGTGACTGTGATTATTAAATTGAAGATATTCAGGGTTTTTTAATATATAAACAATCAGATCATAAATGAACAAATTTACTGCAGTTTGAATTTGCAGATCTATAAAAAGAGGTTTGCAATTATCAAGGTGCGTCCCTGTCATAGCTCTTAAAGCCCTTTTTTGGAGAATCAAAATTTCTTTTATTCTACCACTACCACCCCAAAGCACCAATCCGTATCTCATGATTGACTGGAAGTACGCAAAATAGGCCGTCCTTACATATTTCCTAGGAACCTGATATACCAGACGATCTAAAAGATGCACCACACGAGACAATCTTGAAGATAAATAATCTATGTGAGCATTCCATGTGAGTTGATTATCAATTTGAAGGCCCAAAAATTTTACAGCTGTGCTATTCAAATCAAATCAAATCAAATCAAAATGTCTTTATTTCGTAAAAGTAATCATTTTTACATTTTTACAAAATACAGTATCAGATTACCATAAGAATATAACTGAGTACTTGAACTAAACGAAATGAATCCCACATGGGAGAACCCGTGCGTGGGAGTGAGTCATTCTGTACTTTAATATGAAAGAGAAAAAAAAAAAAAAAAATTATACGTAATAAGAAACAAAACAAAATACTTCTATCCACTGGCATGATTCCAAAGCGCTAGCGGAATTTTGGCTAATCACATTGGAACATAGATATTATAACATAGATATTATTATAGATATTAATATAGATATTATAACATAGATATTATTTAGATCACTCATAGTGGGGATTTGTTTTAGTGTAAAAATCATGTTTTGGGTTTTTTCTTTATTAAGCAAAAATCCATTCGCATTAAACCAATTTGATGATTTTAGCTTTGTTTCATGGACAAGATTTTTTAGTTCTGTTAGGTTGGGGTTTACATGAAAAAATGTTGTATCGTCAGCATAAAGAATAGTTTGACTCTTTACTGCCAATGGAAGGTCATTAAAATAAATTAAAAATAAAAGTGGACCAAGGACTGAGCCTTGGGGAACGCCCCATTTTACATTCTTTTCTTGTGACGTATTGCCATTAATACTTACTATTTGTTTACGATTGTTTAGGTAAGATGAAAAGAATTGTAGAGATGGCCCTCGAAACCCATAATTTTGTAATTTGTTTAAAAGAATTTTAAAATCAACACAATCAAACGCCTTGCTCAGGTCACAAAAAGTGCCCTGAGCAAATAACCTATTTTCAAATGCCCCATGAATCTGACGAATTAGATTATCAAGAGCATCAATAGTGGACATTCCCTTTCTAAATCCAAATTGGGATACATTAAACAAGTTGTTTTCCTCAAAATACTCATTAACCTGTTCAAAGACCAAGATTTCAATTAATTTACCAATTACCGGAATTACTGAGATAGGACGATAACTTTGGGGTTTATCTCTTGGACCCTTCTTATAGACTGGACAAACACGTGAGACCTTCAACAAGTCTGGGAATACTCCAGCTTCTAACAATGAGTTTATACAATTAGCAAGAGGTACATGTAAACTATAAATAATATTTTTCAGTAAATTATTTGACATTCCATAAACATCATCACTTTTTGAGTTTTTCATTTTTTGAACTGCATTGATAACATTTAAAGGCGTTACAATTTTCCAACTAAATAAAACATCGTTTAAATTAATACCACCATCAGTAAGGTCTATTGGTGAGCTCTGCATTTTTGTGTTATCAAGCTGTAGTTTAATATCAGCAATAGAGTTAATAAAGTAGTCGTTAAGGACATCAGACTCAATAGTTAAATGAAGCCTTTCAGAGCACACTTTGTTTTTCTTTATAAGATCCCATGCTGCTTTACATTGGTTATTGCTTTTCTATGAGGTACACATTATACATTAGTTTGGCTTCTTTTATGGATCTTTTATATTGAAATTTCAATCTTTCATATTCAACATTGATAATGAACTTATAATTACTTGAATCATTTAAACCACATTTTAAATTATCAACAGGTTCAACAGTTTTTGCTTAGTATACGCTAAGTCAGCTGTGTACCATTCTTGTTTGAATTTAATTTTACAATTTTGCTTGTTGTCATATTTTTTTTTCACTGGGGTCTTAAAATAGTTCAAATTATTAAGTAATTAAGTAATCTGACACATACTTTAGTAACTCCCATTAGCTTGTCAACAACCTTTGTCATGGGTAAACGGTGGGAGTAACTATATGACATTTTATAGGGAAAATCAGAAATGTTGTAATACATTTTGAACCGTAATTTTTACAGCAATGCACTATTTTGTTTAGAATTAAGGACCATAACTACTTTTAATCAAAACTTTTACATTAATTTTGTCAAAGCATTATAAAAGGAGTGTAAAATTAGAAATAATAACTGGGTGCTAATTTTGCGGTTCTTACCAAGAACTAAGCTTATCTCAACACACCTGTATATGCCTTTTCATATTTCACGCAGACAATGTCTAAAATTCTAATCTGGGAAGCCCTTTTTTACCATCATCAACCAAAAGACTAAAGCTACCTTAGTACTCCAGTATATATTCACCATCAATTTAGGTATGTTTGCTGCTTTAGGCAGTTAAGCTTCTGGAAGGATTCAAATTTCTTATTTTAAATAACATTAACAAAAGCAAACAAAGAGACTGTTTTTACACAAAAAATGATATGGTGTACAGAGTTAATCTATCCAGACACACCAATATTGATTCTGAGTTTGTTTAAGTTACAATAATTTGTTTTAAATATGAGCTTTTTATGACTTATGTCCCTAGAAGCCACTAGTATATATTTAAACTTAAACGTAATGGTAATTCATGTTACAAAAATTGTAACCATCCTGAGTCATAGTCACTAAATGACACTATTCAATTGTATACTAAAGTAGACTCCCTCTTATCTGGACACCTTTTAACCGGACATATCTGTTTAACCGGACTACACTCGGCAGAAATGACAGCTCTTTAACCAGACAATTTTTATCAGCACATTGGTTTAACCGGACTAGATCGGCAGGAAGCGGGCAGTACTGAAACGACTGTTCTCGTGGGAAAGATTTGAGACCAGTGATCACGTGTCTAAATACAATGCTCTCCTAAATTTAAGTCGAATATCACAGTAAACGTCCGTTTTAACGAGTTTTTGGGGATGTCGGTTTAACCGGAAAACCCGCTATCCAGACTGGCCTCGGTCCCGAGGAGTCCGGATAGTAGGGAGTCTACTGTATGTAGCCTATATTGAGTGAATAAAGAAAATTTAAATTTTATTATGCTATGTAGACCATGTGGCAGAACTAAACAACTACTCTCCAATACTAACATCGTGGGCTGGTATTGAGCCTGTGTTGAGGCCGCTACTGTTAGATATTGGTGTGGCAGTTGAAACAGTGGCTGCAGCTCAGCAGAAACATCTCATCAGCTCTTATCAGATCAACTTTTCTCAGGTAAATAAATGCTATCTTGAATTACAATATAGTGAATTCACCAGTCATTTTATTTTAACTCCTGTTGTAATTTTTTTCAAATTGAAGAATTGAAGGTAGTAATGTGCTCTGGTAATTTAGTAAACAAAGTTTGAAAGGCACTTTCAAGATAAACCAAAATAAAATTACAACTTGCAGTTAAAATTAATTATTGGTAACACAGTTTTAGGATGATTTTGTAAATTGAACCCAAATAAAATATCAACATCAGTTAGTTCTAAATCAAAGCACGGCTTCTTCTTATTGATTTTTTCTTGCTAATTCTTTTCTGTGGGTTATTCCTAGTGATAATTGTTAATTGATATTGATATGATATCTTTTTTCCAAAAATACCTTATCATAAAACTAACTTAACTACTGGCAGTATTTTCAGTTGCAGCACCTATTTTAAAACCCCATTACAATTAGTCCTAGTGGTGATTTTCAATTGGTATGAGGTTATTTTTTCCAAGAAAACATAATCACAAAACCTACCTCATAACAGTCTGTATTTTCAGTTGCTGACTCATTTTATTGCAATACTCCATTACAGACCGTGTAGACTCCTAAATACTTAAGTACCATAGCTGGAGATGCACGGAGTATAGAAAACAATGTCACCAAGGTAGCATCCATAGTTATGCCATGTTGTGCCTATTGCTGTGGAAGATAATAATGTAAAAAATTGTAATATTTGAAGAGTCACTGTTTGTTTTTTTTTCAGCCTTTGAAGGAGTATCTCATGTACTTAGAAGCAATAAACGAAGCTTTGGATAGAAGAGAAAATATTCAAATTGAGTATGAGTTAGCTCTCGAGGAAATGAACAAGGTGAAGACGGAAAAGGATCAGTTGGTGCATTCTGATCCGACCAATACTACGTCCTCTTTCGCCCTCTGGAAGCCGACCAGTTGTCATGACAAGTTAGAAAAGCTGAGTTTGACTATACCAAAGTTGTTGAAGACTGTGGAGGTTTGTAAAACTTAACATACTCGTAGAATTCAATTCATTTTATTTATTAAGTAAGAAGGAATGGATACTCTTGAGGTTGAAACCAACTTACCCAAGAAATGAGTTCCAAGTAGCTGAAAGCACAAAAAGGTTCACAACACAAACATTTAACAATGCTGACAATCACTAAACCTACTCCTAAAATCAGGCTGAAAAATTTTAGAACCCTCCAGCGTAACAAAACTTCAGAAACCCTTCAGCCAGCGTAACAAAACTTCAGAAACCCTTAACCCTAGTCTACAGACAACCCCCAAACTCCCAAAAAACCTTCTAGTCCACTCAAAACTGCCAGACTCATCAATATTAGAAAAGGAATTAATCGACACTGACATAATGTTAAACTAAAACCCCATGTCCCAACATGCCCAATCCCCACACAACCTGGGATTTGACAACTGTTTCACCACAAATCTATGAAATAATTTCCAAAGAATCAATGCATCAGCTCTAGGAGATGAGATTTTGCCTTCCAATTTGTTACCAACTCGTGAGCACTATTTAACCTAAATATCTGATAAAAACTTTCCCCTACCCCTAACTCACAGAACTAACTGACGCTTTAGAGTACAAACTAAGGCTATTGTTTTGTAAACAAATATTATTTATGTATATAGACTAGTTTTATTATTTAGTGATTAGAAAGATTAGAAACTTTATTGAGATTATTGTGAAAAGTTGTGAATTTTGTTGGGCTTTCAACTGTTAAAGATTTTCATTGTACAAAATCACAATAGGCTAAGCAACTTTGAGGCATGATTGAGTTAAGGTCATGAAGAAGTTTTAAGGTCAGAAGAAGTTTCATTTCCACCACCATTGTTACAGAATGGCTGTGTTAAGCAAGAAGTTAATAGTGCTTCAATAATTTTAAAGTCATAAAGATTTGTTTAGACTGAAACATCTATGACAATAATTAATCATCCCTATTAATTGTAGGGTAATCAAGATAAAATGGAAATAGCAAATGAAAACTTGAGAGCTGACATGGAGAGATGGCGTATAGAAAAGAAAAACGACTTAAAGAAGCTGTTGATCAAAATGGCTGATCAACACATACGATATTACCAAGAGGTAAGACTATCAATTGTTACACTTTAACCGTACGGGTAAAATTATTTTACTAGTGTAAAGAAGAGCATGAGAGCTTTCACACTGTACAGTTATGGCGACGACAGAATACTCTTGCAGCTGTCCACTGCCCCTGAACCAGACGGTTGTCGGTTGCATCTGTGGCCTAAATGCAAGCTTTCACACTGCACAGTTTTTAATCTAACGGGTGCTCAGCAAACAGATCAGCTGTTGCAATGTTTTCGTTGAAAATCTGACCTGTCAATTAAACACTGTTTATAGTGAGGTTGTAAGAACATTCATCTCGTCATACAGTCAGAAACTGTGTAGTGTGAAAGAATCATGGAAATGGCGTGAACTCGTTTTCAACCGGACGGCGGAAATCAAATAGCGTGAAAGGAGCGTACTCCTCCACTGGTTGCAGAAAAAAAAGCAGTTGGTATTTTTGATAATATGTTAAACACATTACAGTACGGTTCACAAGAGTCTGCAGATGAGGGACGAGCCTATTTACCACGTGACTTCGAAGGAGTCAATGAGGACAGTGCGGTGATGCCAAATCTAATATTACTAGCTGATTTGAAAATATTGTTTAGTATATTTTAATTAGTGTAAAAAAATAGTGAATGGGTGATGTTCGCTAATCCAGTTTTTGTATTGACTCCTGCCAACTGCAGACTCTCGTGGCCCCTAGTATAGTTCAAAATTGTTTTCTGATACAAAACATTGTATTACATGCATGGTATTATATGGTGGGCCTAAGCGTGATTTGATATTTTTGTAGCACTTACCTACTTTTTTTATTAGGATGCCGATTGCAGTATAGCTCAAAGGAAAATAAACTCATTGCATTGTTAAGTGGTTGTAACGGTTTGTTTATTTGAATTGTCAGTTATAAAGGACAGTGACAGTTACAATTTATTAACTACTGATTTTAAGCACCACCATGTTAAATGCGTGTATTTCATGATGGTACCCAATCCAAACAGTATTTTCAATCATGGAGATTGTGAGAAGGAAACTACTGGACCAGTCATTGGGCCTGCTTGTTTCAGAAGTACTAATAGATTGCCAATTTTTCAATACATCTGTAAATAATTATTTTCGTTTTTTGTTTTACCCTTAACTTATAGAATAATGTGGATTATTAATTAACCTTAAAACTTAGTGGGTGTGGTGTGATGAGTTGTAATGTACCAACCAGAACATGAACAGTGCACACTAACTATATTATTCAAACTGGTACATACTTTCCCTAAAATATTTTTTAGTGTTGGCATTTTTATCTGTCAACTAACACACATACAACTCCAAAACAGATAATCACAAGCCTATGGCCATTACATTTATTTATCAATTATTGCAATTCATTTAGTTGTCACTCAGTAGGTTTTAGTGTTAATTTACAAAGCTTCTGATATATTTACGTTATCAATGTTGTTAAGTTAAAATAATAATATATATTTGCAGTGCCTTGCCGCTTGGGAGAAAGTGGTGCCAACACTCAAGGAAACAGGAAATACCACCAGTGGTGCCAATAAAAGCTAGTCAGAAATAAAAACTTATTATTGTGTGTGCAAGTGTGTACCATATAAAATCAAAATGTAACTTAAATGTACGAACCTCAGCTATTAAGAGTTTTATTTATGTATGTTGTTAATAAAATTATTATTTGTTAAGAGCTTTTTACTTCTTTGAGTTTAAAAGTTCTATTAAGTTCTCCAATTCTCTATATTTTTTCCTAACAACAAAAGTAATTGGAAAGCATTATTAGAATGGTCGTAATCAGTGCTGTAAAAATCACAATAAAACAGGCTTAGACAGTATACCCTTTGGGCACTGAAGAAAATGGTGCTATCTTGGATGACGATTTTTTTCTTTCTCCGTGCTTGCTGGAGATAAATTTAATTGAAAATAATAATCCAAACAATTAAAAAATAACCGAACAGTGTGCTTTCTTGGCAGCAGATTTGTTTACTAGTACTATTGATTAAACATGTTTTATTACTTTCTTGTGGATCAACTGGACAAATTTAAAGTGTACTTGATAATGCCTTGAATGTGTCTGTCTACTGTTTATTCACTATTGCTTTTCATGTGTCTCTACAACCAAATATTCAAGTACACACTATAAAATTTAACACAACACCACTATTAGAGAAGGTTTGTCAACAGCTATCTCATAGATACCTTTGCACTTTTACAGCCATAAAATAATAATTGAACTAAAATCTTAACTAAAATGTATAAACATTTAAACAAGGGTCCATGAATAAACCATTAAAACAAGAGTTGGAAAAATGTAGAAATATATTTACACATATTTACAAATGAATCACAAGACATTCAATCACGCTGAAGATGTAGATGAGACGCCAAGCAACTCTTTGGCTTCCTCCGACTGTGCTATGACACTCTCGCTAGCATATCTGTTAAGCAGTTCTTGTTTCTTCCTCTGGAGAAGGGCTTGCTCCACCTCCTTCTGAGACGGCACAGGAACATGTGCGATGAATCTGGGCTGACCTAGGTCTCTCTCCCCCTCCACACCCATCTCCTCATCCGAGCTCTGCAGCATGTTAATTTATTTCATAAACTATAATATTATTGTTGTACTAAATAAAAACATTATATGTCTATGTGGGTGTACTTGATCATTTGGTGTGACAACATATTTTCAAGTCATAACAAGCAATCGTAATGCTTCATTGCAGTTATATACATAGTAAATTATGCTGGTCAAGGGATATCTACAAAAAGGTCAGTTATCCTTACCCAAGAAACTCATAATTTTGGCTAATAAGGTGGACTTTTAAAGCTTAGTGTACGGTCCAACCCACCAACAGAACTAAATGTCAAAGATGAAAGGCAAGGTTTGTGTCTGGGCCTCGAAAACCAAAACCTTATTGTACTATTTTACTAGGAATTAAGTGAATGGACTGTTTTATGTCATAACTCAAACTCAACTAACTTTATTTACCTTTCTACAAACATAGAATAACAAATAAACATATGATCTATCTATATATTAATAGGCAAGCATGTTTCTTTAAAACCTTTTTTCTCAGCTTGTGTGCATCGTGGGATAAATCTACGCATACCGTTAGAAAGCTATTTTCCTGTAGGTGTGCAGAATCCCTTTATAAATTTAAATAGGCTCAAAGATAAGCACAAAAAATGAGTTTAAAAATTTGAAAAAATTAACATGGATCTTATGCGTTGCCATGCTGGTGACGAAATAACAACGAAATATAAACAGAAAATAAAAAAAAATGGAAGAAACTCCAATCACATGTTTTATTTACAGTGTGGGGTGAAAATAGAGAAGTGAGTAAGTTTACATTACATATTATTGGTCGAGTTTCGACCACTGGACGACCTCTCGTAATAATTAATAGAAATTAACAGGTGTTATGAAATAAACTGTTCTCACAACATCCTCCCTTTTAAGTTTGAAAGTTCTTCAACCAGCTTGGTTTGTGTATATTTCTCTTTGGACGGTTGTATGGTTCTGTTTGATGTGTATTTGCTGACACATTTTGTTCACTGTTTTCCTCTCTTAAATAAGGGGCAAGTTTGAGGTGGAATCGATTTCTTCTCACATTCCTCTTATCAGTTTCAACAATGTATGAACGAGGGCGTGAACAAAATGTGTCAGCAAATACACATCAAACAGAACCATACAACCGTCCAAAGAGAAATATACACAAACCAAGCTGGTTGAAGAACTTTCAAACTTAAAAGGGAGGATGTTGTGAGAACAGTTTATTTCATAACACCTGTTAATTTCTATTAATTATTATCATATGTTTATTTGTTATTCTATGTTTGTAGAAAGGTAAATAAAGTTAGTTGAGTTTGAGTTATGACATAAAACAGTCCATTTTGAGAATGGCGGAAACCTTTTCCTTATCAACAGAAATTCCATCGGATGAGAGGAAATGCCCGAGGAATTTAATACTTGACTTCCCAAACTCAGTTTTGTCTTTGTTAAGTGTCATTCCTACATTTTTAAGCTTTTCAAGTACTTGCCGAACAACTGTATCATGTTCTTCTTTCGTTTTGCCCCAAATCAGAATATCGTCCATATGGACTGCGACATTTGACTGGTTGTCTAAGATTTTGTTCATGCATTTCTGAAAATGTTCAGGTGCTGATGTGATTCCAAATGGAAGTTTGAGAAATTTAAAACGTCCAAAGGGGGTAAGGAAAGTAGTTAGATCCTGGGAATTTACATTTAAGGGGACTTGCCAAAAACCACTGTTTGCATCAAGTTTTGAAAACCATTTTGCTCCTGAGATTGAGCTGAGAGACGTTTCAATTTTGGGAATCGGATGATAAGACCGCTGGATGGATTCATTCAACTTTGTTAAGTCAACACATATGCGGACATCTCCATTAGATTTAGGCACTACTACCATTGCTGAGCACCATTCAGTAGCATGCTCAACTGGTGTGATTACATTATTTTGTACCATACTTTCTAGTTCTTTTTTCACTTGACACATTAGGGGTAAAGGTACTGTCCTAGGAGTGGTTATTGCGTATGGCTTTGCACCATCCTTAAGTGCTATTGTGTAGGGATCAGGAATGACGCCCAGACCACTAAACATTTCATGGTATTCGGTAAAAAAGTCACTGTCTACCTTTGCAACTCAATTAACAAAAGTTAAAATTTTAAAGTCCTGTATTGCTGGACGACCAAGCAAGGGTGTTATGAGTCCCTTCACTACGTATACAATGTGATTTATTTTAACATCTCTGTATTGGATATTAGCTCTAACACAACCTACAGTTTCTAATTTTGTTCTACCAGCCCCAAACAACTCAACTAGAGTCGGCTGGATCCTACTTGGATCAACTATGCCAGGGGGAATTACTGTTACATCTGCCCCTGAATCAATTTTAAATGTTTGTGGTTTTCCCTCAAATACTAATTCTAGTTTCCAGGGCTTACATTTTGACCCATCCCCAAGTGTACCTATGAATACTTTATTATTTGAAGGTCCAAGTTCACTTACTTCATTTTCATCAGTTACTTCCTGTGCTTCTTTAGATCTGCAGACCTTCGAAAAGTGACCAATCTTTTTGCATAAGTTACATGTTGCGCTTTTTGCTGGACACGTGCTTCTTGGATGGGACGGTTTATAACCACACCAGATACATTGCGCTGGGTATTCTTGTTTCTTTTGACGAAACCTATATCCTTGATTTTGGTTTGAACTCGATGACGTAGTTGCTTCAATTTGAACTCTTTTCTCATCACATAAATCTGCCTTCTCTTTCTTTACGTTATCTGCATGTCTTATAACTGTAATGGCCTTGTCTAAATTCATCTCGGGATCTAGCAACAAGCGATCACTAAGTTTCTCATCATTTAAACCCAGTATTAGTACCATCAACACCATTTCATCATTAAGTGAACCCCAGTCACAGGTTCTAGCCAAGGAATGGAGACTAACTATAAACTCTTCAACTGTTTCATTAATTTTTTGTTGTCTCTTCAAAAACTTTGCTCTTTCAAAAATTAAGTTTCTCCGTGGAATAAAATGTTTGTCAAATAAATCTAAGACTTCTTCAAATGTTAGCGTTGATTCGGTTGCTAAATTAAAAGATGCAAAAATCTCATCAGCTTTCTCACCTAATGTGTATATAAGAGTGTTGATTTGTTTGTTCTCAGACTCTTCAGATAGCCCAGATGCTGACCGATATCTTTGAAATCTTGTTTTCCATCCTGGCCAATCTGCTGGTACAAAGGAAAAACTAGCTGGAGGTTGAATAACTGAATGAGTGTTTGATACAATGATTGACTTCTTAGTTGAATTGTTGTATTCATTTTCTCTGCTTCTTTCATTTTCATTATCTTCATAGTCAGATTGTTTCCTTCTTGGATTTCTCTTCTGAGGCATAGCTCTAAACCGCTGCCACCATGTACTATTTTACTAGGAATTAAGTGAATGGACTGTTTTATGTCATAACTCAAACTCAACTAACTTTATTTACCTTTCTACAAACATAGAATAACAAATAAACATATGATAATAATTAATAGAAATTAACAGGTGTTATGAAATAAACTGTTCTCACAACACTTATGCAATAACCCATACAACTATTCTTTTTTACACCGTACAACTTGTACTTCTGGCACAGATTAAAACACATTATTGATAATGATCAGTCACTATAATAGACAATGGTAGAATATAATGGCAAGGACACATAATATGTTACTGTAGTACTCAAATGCTTTTATTTTAGTTTTTGGAGGAAAGAGGGCTTAAAAACGAGAAAATTAAGCTAAACAGAATGGTTACGAATACAATACCGTACTAATTAGTGGGTACTTAACCACTTTTCTCGGGTAAGCCAAACATTGTTTAGTGATTTGTGTGGATATTTTAAACTGAAAACTTACACTGTCATCAGCAGTAACAGAGTATATATTCTCTTCTTCCTCTTCCTCAGTCTTGTCTTCACCTTCGTTGTTTACACTTGCTTCTTTCTTTGCTTTCCAATCAGCAACAGCCTGTTGTATTGCTGCAAATTTGATATAATTAACAATGACACATAAAAACAACCATAGGACTTTTAAGGTTAAAAATACTTTTTACCTGTGACTGTTTTTTAAAGTACCGTAGCCGTTTCAATTCAGTTAGGTAAAGTAGTGTACCCAACTCAAGTATAGTGTTAACGACATTTGTAGAAGTTTTTTGTGTCGTTAACACTATCTTTACGCAATCGTTGTGTAAACTACTACTACGCACAAGGGTTTACATACATGGTAACACACTGATTCCTAAATGTTACCTTTTTTCTCCTCCCTGCTCTCGATTGGCAACAGTACACCATCGTCGTCGTCCCTGTAGCCGTAGTAGTCAGCATCAATGTCTTTCATCAGTTCACCTCTCGTCTTGCGAGGGGGAGGGGGCGGCTCCTGCTCAAACAGCTCTCTCACACCTGTTGTACATTGAAAGAACTTCAACTATCGTATCATTGGCAATGGAAGTTGTGATCCATCTCAGGTTTTCAAACCTGAGGTATCATAAGTTTCCTAATTTATTTGTAATTTTGCTGTGTTAAAATGATTTTCAGAGGCTTATTGGTCTCAACAACAGTATAAAGATAAGGAGTCAAACTGTTCTCTCCAAAATTTGAAAAATCTCACTAGTGTATGGATGGAAATTTTATTTTTGCTACAATTTCAGGGCAGCTTCTTAATCAGCTATATCATCCTACTACTGAGCTACTGTGCTAATTATCTGGGAGGAGTAGAACATACTTTGTGGCTTCTTAACATACCCTAAATGTTCTATTTCGTATAGACAATATGTCTAATTCTTGTAAGTTTCTAAAACATAAAAATTATGTCATCAGTGTGATACTTTTCCACTCTCAACGAAATTCAAAATTTCATCTATAGTCCAACATAGTAATAGAAAGTAAAACCTAATAAATAAAATAAACTGCTTGCGGAAAAGTGAGCAGACTTTGAGACTTCATTTGTGATATTTTGTCCAACTCACTGATCTTTATTTTTGTCAGACGATATCCAGGACTTGTCAGAAAACACTTATCACATGCAATCGTCCTACCCTGAGAAAGCAGGAAACTTTTCGGGTCCCGCAAAGCATTGCACTTGATTTCTCAGGTTCATTTTGTAATAATGATACAATCCATAGGGATAGGTATTTGACATTCACAATGTTCTAAATTTATATTAGGTACCATGTTAAACAACAAAAATAATACCTGGTAATTCTTTTGCAGCTCCAAAATACTTGTAGCCTCTGTTTCCGGGCACTTCTTTTCCCTCATGGTCCAACATGCGAGGGCCGACCCTGGCGTAGTCTGGACCTCCCAACTCCCTGATCTGGGCTTCCCAATGACCCTTCTCTCTAAGCAACTTGTTGATTTCATCGTTTAAATCTCGTATCCTAAATTCTCCAAGACCAGCTAAAAACAAGGATTTATATTAGAAGAGGCAGGGGATGGATTATAATGGGGGTTCAGAATCCTCTTAAAAGGTTTCAGTGGTCACAGAGGTAAGGTAAGGTACGGTAAGTGATAGTATGCAATGGAAGGTGGTATTTAGCTACTGTACATAAAACCAGAGTGTGTGATCATCCGCGAATCTCATTTCAAGACTTTTTAAATCGGCTTAGATTTAAAATGCATATCGTATAGGCCTATAATCGGATGAGAGAAATGTGTGGTCAGGTGACATTTATTTACAAGATGATTTTTCCCATTAAAACTATCATAATTTGTCCTTATGTGTGTACTATTCTGAATTATATTAAGTTTTAATTGACAACTTGATTCCCGTACATAGGACGGGCCAACAGCTTCTAATAATTCAAATAAAACATATCTTTGGATGTAGGCCTACCTATTGGAAGTGGTGTTTAAATCTTTATAAAAATGCTTTGAGCTACTGGAATAGCCTACACAAATTTTGGTCTTTTAGTTGTATCATCTTTGTTGATGTTAACATTTCCCAAGATGGGATCACAATAAGAAACTTCACTTAAAACATTACAGTTTAACTGCAACAGCAGCGGCAAATATACACCTGAGTCACACAAGTGATCTGCATCACCAACATATCATAATCAAAGTAAAATTAAAATTTCTCTTCATGGTGCTGTACAACAGTTCATGTATATTTACCATTTTGTATCTGAGCCACTTTCCTCGCAATTTCTCTGATAATTTGCATTCTCCACTTTTCAGCTTTTGGTAAATCTGTACACTCTGAGGCTAGAAATGGTCTTCTTTCTTTCTCCTTGGCACTTCCACCTTGTTCTGTCACCTGTGCGGCTCTCCACCGAGCCAAGGTCGTCCTGGAAAAGGTTTGTAGAGTAATAAAGAAAAATGTGCTCAGATAATTACAAAGTTATCCTTTAGACTCTTGGCAACATAAAATAAAACTGCATTTAGGCATAACAAAGCAAACTCACAAAAAACCATTTAATAAATGGATTGTGTTATTATTTCTAAGATCCAAGTTTGTTTGAAATGTTTTTAAATACTTGTTTAGTTGGTTGTTTCTGATGCTTTAAATGACTTGGGATAAAATTCAATTCACAATGCCCCTACAGTTAAAATAATTAGAACAAGTTAGTGCAGGATATAAAACTATACCGGTACCGGTAATGTAATTGTTATAATTCTACGAGATAACATACCCTATTCATTGCGGCAGACATTGAGATAATTCCTCAGATAAATTTAAAAAATAAATAAATAAAATGAGGTCAGTCGGAGCAACTGTATTTTTGGGGCTTGTGCTTTCGCTGACCACCAACTTTTTGTTTTAAAATTTTAAAAATATGAAAGTTTTCACAAAACCTTAACTATTTCATTGGTGCATCAGTAGTAAGATTTATAGGGTAGAAAAAAAAATATTAATTTTACGGGAAAAAATGCAAAACTGCATTTACTCAAAATCAGAGATTTTACGATTTTTTAAAATATTTTATGGAAAAAGTCTTTGATATATATTGTACATATTAAACAGAAGTAGGCTACTCTTTAAGTGTTTGAACCATCTAATTTTAGGCCTATGTGGAAATAGGCCTAATCAAGATTTTTTAAAATACTCATTTTACGTCACAACTGAAGAAAAAAAAATCCGTTTTAAGTAAAACCATGACTTAACTTTTCCGTTTTTTTCTACATTCTTTTTGACTACCTGAAAACGAAAAAAGATAGCCTAAACTTAATTAAGTTCTGTAAAAAGTATTGAAAAGCCCAAAACCTCTACTGTAGATGCAATTGCCCCACCATTATGTAAACACAGTTTTTTTTGGAAATTAGGGGCCATGTAAGCTCTTACCCCACCCGGGTGGGGCAAGAGCGAACACTGTGTTGTATTTTACACATGTAGTTTTGAAAATATATGTTTATTTATGACTGTTTTTTAGCTTTTACCACAAAAGTAGATTTTCTTAAGTTTTTACATGACATAACAAAAGCTGTAACTTCAAAAACAAAGCCAAAATAAGGTGTTAAAGTTCATCTCAGCCTCACGACCTCAGTAATTTACTGAGTTTATAGGCCTAATGGATATGCCTAAATCAAGCCTTGGGCCTAAACATAACTTACAATGATTATTTGCAGAAAGCAAAATGTGGCTGATGCGATTAGGGAGTCAGTAAGCTAAAAATATCGATTTTAACCATAACTGAAGACCTATAGACATACCAGTTGTTCAGTAAAAGGCCAGCTGACCATATGAGCATATTAAAATAATCCCCACATGTCAACAACAATACAATAATAAAAATTTGAAAATGTAAACATTCCAAGGTAAACATTCTGGTTAAAAAAGTACAATTTTTCTCTCTTGTAATATCGTTTCTTTGTGTAACATAATTCATTTCTCTCTCCTTTTATTTTGACTTATTTCATTTACCTTTTCTTTTTGTGTGCATTAAATAAACCTTTTTTAATTTGAATCTAAATTCTGTGTACCTACTGTGAGAACATTTTGGACATTCATGAAACATATCTTCTGGATAGACAACATTTGACCAGATCTTCTTTCAAGACCTTAATAACGTCAAAGTGGTAACATAACTAAGTTATAGTTCAGTGTTAAAAATTATACCAAAAGTCCATTATTTTCTGTTGTCAAAATTAAATTAATAACCCATATACAGTCCACTTTATTATTTCTACAATAACCTTTTGATACCTTTTTCTACATCTTTGGTCCTTCGAGCCGGATTGTTGATTAACCAATTGATTGGATTAATTATTTGGACTTTTGGTGAAGATTAAAGACGAACATAACCTCATAAACTCTCAATATTGTCGTTCACGCATATTTTGTACTCCCCCTCTACCTCTATCTCTCTCACTCTCTCGATCACATTAGCCTAATAGGCCTACTCCAATGACTGAAAGACTCTGTGACGTTATAGTCATTTTGTAAACATTATACCAATCCTTCAGTGTTTATATTTTTTGTTGATTGGTTCCGAGTTAAGGCCCACAAACTGTTTAATTGAACTAGCCTAATTCATTTTGTTTTATGTAACGAAGTGAAATAACTTTTGTGTCTTGTGTTTTTTGACTGTATTTGTGTTCAATGATGGCTTCTGTTAACCTAGGCCCGATTAAGGTTTCTACTTATAAAAGACTAACCAAACAATTCAAAGTTAGGCTTGGAAAAATTCAAGAAAATATAGATTCTATTAATGAAAGTGCTAAAGCAAACAACCTATCCTCTGTGCAAATAAAATCACTTCATAACTATTTAGATGAAATCAGGAAAAAGCGAGACGACTTTGAACTAAATTTCAGGCGCGTTTTAGAACATTGTTCTGACGAAGAACTCGATGGCATTATTCTAAATGATGATGAAAACACTATTGGTGAATTATGTATACGGTACATCTTTGTAGTACTATAGAGTCACTAATCCCTAATGACGAACCTCAATCTCCCCCTCAAGAAATGGTGAATGATTCCAACTGTACTGCTTTCATGCAACCTGTCCGCCTACCGCAACTTGACTTGAAAACCTTCTCGGGAAACTCAGCCGAGTGGATTAATTTCATCAATCTTTTTGATAGCGCTGTACACCTCAACACATCTCTGTCTCCAGTATCAAAATTTCAATACCTACTAAGCTGTCTAACTGAAGAACCTCTAAATTTAATTAAAAACTTAAACATCAGTGCATCTAACTACGAAATCGCATACAATTTGTTGCGCGATCGATACCACAATCACAGACGCTTAACTTCTTTACATTTAAATGCCATATTGGATCTTCCCATTGCTACATCTGAAAATACAAAATCAATACGTGAATTTCTAAATAATTTTCTGGAACATACACAATCACTTATTGCTTTAGAAAGTGACTTCACTACCAATGACAATCCTTTGCTGTCAGCTCATTTGCTCCGTAGACTTGATAGAAATTTACGGCAAAAACTTGAACATTACCGCTCATTCAAATCATGTGAAACTCATTCGTTACCATCTGTGGACGAAATCATTAAATTTCTCAATGAAGAATGCTCAAACAGTGAAGATGCCAACCTACACTCTTCAACTTTTTGTCACAAGGCTAATTCAAAGCCTGCCCTCACATCTAGTAAAAATTACTCCAAACCAAGCACCCGCTATACTGCACTTGTAAGCTCAGATAATCACTCCACTTCTGTAAAGACATTTCCATCATGCTTTGCCTGCCAACAAACCGATCACAAAATCTACATGTGTAAGGTTTTTGCTAAAAAATCTCCAAACGAACGTTACAAACTTGTAAAAGAGCAAAATAAATGTATTTCATGTCTTGGCAATCACACACTCAAAGATTGTCGCTCAACAGGCACATGTCTTAAATGTAAACAAAAACACCACACCTTGTTACATTTCGAAAATGTTGTAAAGTCGGTGCAGCCTCCTCCTATAGCCAAACCCTCAAAACCTTCAACTGCTACACCTTCTGTAGTCGCTTCTGCTCAACCAGAAATGTCGCTCTCGATTTCTCAGCCTGCAACTACGGTACTTCTAGGCACCGCTCTCATTAAAATTACCGCTACTAATGGAATCTCTCATGTCTTTCGATGTCTGCTCGACAGTGGAAGTCAACTCAACTTCATGACAGAGAGGGCAGCACAGCTATTAAACGTCTCTCGTCACCGCTCTACTCACACAATCGTGGGAATCTCTGCATCGCAATCCTCAACAAAGGGACATGCACTCCTAGAACTATCCACACTAGGCAGTGAAGTAATTGCTTCAAATCGACCTTTCCATATTCTAGATAGAATTTCCGCTCCTTTGCCTCGTACTCAACTCTCTTTTGAGGTTTACGAACTGGTAAAACCTTTTGTCCTCGCAGATCCGACCTTTCATATTCCTCAGAATATTGACATTCTCATAGGAGGTGCTTTGTTTCCAGAACTTCTTACTCATCAATCCTACCCATTGGGCTCAAACCTTCCATTCGTTATTGGAACACGATTGGGATTTGTGTTAATGGGCAATGCACCAACTTTGTCTAACTCTTCTCCCACCTCATGCCATTCGTCTCTATTATCCACTACGGACGAGCTACATAATACTCTACTTCGCTTTTGGCAACAAGAAGAGGTACCGCAGTGCAATCTTATCTCTGAAGACGATCGCATCGCTGAAGATCACTTCAAATCAACTCACTCCCACTCTCCAGATGGAACATATGTGGTTCGACTCCCTTTCAAGGACCAACATCAACCACTGGGCACTTCAAAATCTGCTGCTGAACATAGACTTCACTCAATCGAACGAAAGTTTGAATCCAACTCTAATTTCAAGGAATTGTATACACAGTTTATGACTGAATATGAAAATCTCGGACACATGGTCAAAGCATCCCCTTCCGATCTTTCGCAACCACACTACTATCTGCCTCATCACGGTGTACTGAAGGAAACCAGTAGTACAACCAAACTTCGTACAGTTTTTGATGATAGTTGCAAAACCAGTACCGGTGTCGCACTAAATGATATTCTTTTAACCGGTCGCAAACTTCAAATTGACATTTGTGACATTTTGTAGAATTTTCGTTCACATAATTATGTGTTCAGTTGCGATATAAGGAAAATGTATCGTTGCATTCAAGTTCATCCTGACGACCAGAAGTATCAGTTAATTCTATGGCGTGATCCAAAGACTCAAGAAATCTCCACATACAAATTAACGACAGTTACATACGGTCTAAGCAGTTCACCTTTCCATGCCATCAGAACGTTACATCAACTTGCTGACGACGAAGGAGGGTCGTTCCCAGCAGCAGCCAAAGTTTTACGGGATAATACGTATGTGGATGACGTCATCTGTGGAGCTCATACACTCAACGAAGCTAAGCAACTACGAGATCAGCTGATTGAACTTCTTGCACGTGGTGGTTTTGAGCTAAGAAAATGGACATCCAATTGCCCAGAAATACTCCAAGATTTGCCTCAAGATCATCTAGAAACACCAGTCTTTTTGGAAGCCACTAATCACCCTCATTTTGCCATTCTTGGACTACATTGGTCACCCATTTCAGATTGTTTCACTTACAACTTAAGTCTCCCTGATGGTCCTCCTACAAAACGATCAGTGCTGAGCATTATAGCACGCATTTTCGACCCTACCGGATTTTTGTCACCCGTGACCATGTGGGCAAAAACCCTCATGCAAATACTCTGGTCACAAGGTATCCAATGGGATGACACTCTTCCAAATGAACTCGCCGAAAAATGGCACATTTTCGTTGATGAAACCTCTCTACTTTCAAGTATTAAGATCCCTCGCTCGTTCCATTTCACTACCACATGTTCCTTAGAACTCCATGGATTTTCAGATGCCTCCGAAGTAGGATACTCAGCAGTTTTATACTTCCGCTGTGAGTTTTCAACTGGAGAAATCATCACTCGTCAGATTCTCGCAAAAACACGTGTAGCTCCTTTGCAACGTGTTACTCTACCCCGCTTGGAACTATGTGGTGCATACTTACTTGCAAGACTCACAACCTACTGTTGTACAATTTTCAAAGAAAAGATTGACCTTTCTCAAACTACATTGTGGTGTGATTCATCAGTAACCCTCACTTGGTTACACACCCCATCATATCGACTAAAAAAGTATGTTGCCAACAGAGTTGCTCAAGTCCAAGAATTGATCCCCTCTCACTCCTGGCGCTACGTTCCCTCAACGGACAACCCCGCTGATTGTGCGTCACGTGGTTTACTTCCCACTCAACTCATTGATCATCCTCTATGGTGGAATGGCCCTCCATGGTTAACTCTATCAGATGATCATTGGCCATCTAATCGCTTCGTTCCAATCAACTTGCAAGACACTCAAGAATGTAAAACTACTCCTCTAAATGTCCTAGTTTCAACCCAACCTCCAGAATGGGATCTTCTCTCCAAGTACTCATCGTGGTCCAAACTACTCAGAGTAACAAGCTATGTCTTGCGGTTTATCCATAATGCACGTAGCTCTGACCGAAGACATGGGCATCTCACCGTCTCTGAACTTAAGAACTCAGAGCGTACCATCATCAAGCGTGTCCAAGCTACATGTTTTACGAATGAATTGACTCTACTTCTCAAAAACACACCCAGTACCTAATCTTCAACCCTTAGACCATTTTCTGGATGCTTCCGGCATAATTCGTGTGGGAGGCCGGTTAAGAAGCTAACACACAAATTCAAAGACAAACCTCCTGTAAATAGTTTATTCATAATATACTTCAGTGCTCCGTTATTTTGTTACAATTTTGTGTTCATTGTTATAAAACTATCGTTTTATGGAGGCCGGTATGTTCAGTAAAAGGCCAGCTGACCATATGAGCATATTAAAATAATCCCCACATGTCAACAACAATACAATAATAAAAATTTGAAAATGTAAACATTCCAAGGTAAACATTCTGGTTAAAAAAGTGCAATTTTTCTCTCTTGTAATATCGTTTCTTTGTGTAACATAATTCATTTCTCTCTCCTTTTATTTTGACTTATTTCATTTACCTTTTCTTTTTGTGTGCATTAAATAAACCTTTTTTAATTTGAATCTAAATTCTGTGTACCTACTGTGAGAACATTTTGGACATTCATGAAACATATCTTCTGGATAGACAACATTCGACCAGATCTTCTTTCAAGACCATAACCCATTGAGTGCCAACGTCCGGGGAACCGGACGTTTTTAAAACGAGCCAAAAGTGCCAACGTCCGGCCGACCGGACGTTTTTAGAACGAGCCAAAAGTGCCAACGTCCGGCTGACCGGACGTTTCGTAATGATCGAACAGCTGTCATAACAACCGAATAAATACTCGGATTCTTTTAACCCATATATTAACATTGAGTCGAAAGTTGCTAGATGCGATACATCGATTTTCGTTGGTCGAAATATCGAAAATTCGATTTTTCCGAAATTTTAACCTAAAAATCGCCAGATCGCGCTCGGCATTTTTAGCGCGACCTTCGGGAAAAATCATCGGCATTTTTTGAGCGTTACTTTTATTTCTCGCCTGGCACTCTAAGGGTTAATAACGTCAAAGTGGTAACATAACTAAGTTATAGTTCAGTGTTAAAAATTATACCAAAAGTCCATTATTTTCTGTTGTCAAAATTAAATCAATAACCCATATACAGTCCACTTTATTATTTCTACAATAACCTTTTGATTACGCTACACCAGTATAAAAATATTTTCAAAATCAGCTAAGCTATAGCTTAATAGGTAAGTACTTTGATATAGGCCTAAAACTTACATAGCTTTCTCTGCATTCCTAGCCTGAAACAAAGAATTCATTTAATTTAAAACATAGGCTACACAAATTATACATTTAAAAATTAGTAATTGATGAAGGATCTTAGCCTATAAGGCAAAACTTTATATAACTTACGACTCTAATGATTAGGGTAAATCAATTGTGTTAATAGATTTTCTTATACTAACTTAATCAATCTTAGCAATTTATTTGGAATCACAGAATCTTTACAAAACGTGACTAGCCTATTATAGTATCTGCCACAACGGACACCAGCTACCGCGACTAGCCACACTGCTAGTTGAAGTGTTTAGGACTAACTCAAAGTTTTTTTTGTAAGGGGACAGTCCAAACCAGAATGGTGTATAAGTTAGGCAACTGGTAGTTAGGTTACTACGTAACTTAACTTTCTATTAAGCATATTAGATGGACAGGCCTAGCATCATTAATTAATCACTCAATGACAAATAATAGCATCAGAATCTCAACCCCCCCCCCTTGGAATCTTATAATGTTGATTGTTGAAATCTAATAATGGTATTTAGATACACAGAGGATACACGTCCTGTAACCAGACGTGGATTAGGCGTCCGGTAGTGACGTCCCGGAACGCCATTACCACAACGATCAGCGTTGTTCGTGGTGTAGTGGATAGAGTGCTCGGCTGATATTCAAGAGGTCACTGGTTCGAGACCCATCGGTTTCTTTAACTTTTGGTCACAGATTTTGCTTTGAATGTAATTTCTTCTTAACTAGGTAAGTTACATCTTTTGTTAGAATTTTTGGCATTTATAATTTTATGTTATGAAGAGAATTGAACCTTCATTTGATTTTTTTTTCATTATCAGCAAGTTTGGTTGGTTAGGTTAGGTTATGACAGTAACTGCCGGACGCCTAATCCACGTCTTGTTACCGGACGCGTAACTTATCCTCTGCGATTTAGATATCTGGACCATATAGCCTAGTTAATAGATAAATAAGGATTATTTAGGTTATGCCAACTGGTCAAGAAAGAGATCAATAGCAAATTGTACTTGGCCTATTTTAGTATGTTTTAGACCCTATCTATGGTCCAACTTGATAGGTCCAATCACTTTCTTGGCCAATTCCACTAAGGTTAGGCATATACCTACATTGACTTATAATTTGTGGTAATAATGATTCTGAATAAACTTACCATTTTCCTAACTTACTCCACAGAAAAATATCCTTTAATTGATAATTATTATGAACGCCTATTGATTTGAATCCTGCTTTTGTTGAGGTTGAGGTTAGGTTAGGTTAGCAGCAACAACGACAACAAATCGGACAGTACTCAGTATTCTGTAATATAATATGTGCACTGAGTTGTGGTGCGGCACACGGGAGATTTTTGGATTTTTCAGTTGCCGTTATGACGTCATCATTAGTGCAGAAGACTCAACAGACAGGAGCGCCACTTGTCTCGAACGGGCAAATTTTCTGAACTTGCCCCACCTTGAAATTTTAATTGTTTCTAGGGAAGAATATTGGTCATTGGATGATTGCTAGAATCAAACTTGTAGCATCTTTCAACAAGCTATTTTATCGTTTATCAGTTCGCCTCATTAGGTCAAATGATAATATTTCAGTGTCAATTTGATGGAAATAATTCAGATTCAAACAGTTTCAATGGTTATCGATCATGACACCCACCCGTCTCAAACACTCTGCATTTATATATGAATAAAAATCGAGAATCGAGAACGTATTTTTAATAGACTTGACATAGTACTAGCATAGACTAAGGCCCGATTTCACCAAATTCTCGCTAACGATCGTTTAGTTAAACTTTGGTTAAAACTAACCGATGATTTAAACCACAGTTAAGGAAATCTGGTTTCACCAACGAAAACGCGTCAAAACTAACGCCGGTTTTATAAACGAGAGTTTAGAGTCAAATCCAGGTGGCGGTGGCAGTGAAACTGTCATAATACCGGGCTGTTACGGGAGCAAGTAAACATAACCTAGAAAATAAATTAGTGTTTATGAGGTAGTGAAAACAAAACTGGAGACAGCAAGCTTACAGGAATACAATAGATTCTGAGCAAAATAACAACAGAAAGCAAGAATAAATACCAAAACAATTAACATAAGTAAATAAAGGCAAAGCAATGTTGATCAAACATATTCGGGGGACAAATTGGTTGAGTTTTGCGGTCGAGTCCATTTTTAACGTTGGGTTAGGTTACCCAAAGCCAGGAGAAGGAAAGGGAGCCTATTTTTTCGAACAATGAAATAATAAATTTGATAATGTTGGTAGAAGATCCGGGACACTCTTTTTAGCCGGGATAAAAGAGTACGGCTCTTGATCGCCAATCAGTTCAATGCGGTCGCTGATCACAAATATACGCCTTAACTAAAACCTTGTGGGATAACCTAAAGCAATGCACTATGTGGGATAGGATAAACACAAACCACTACAGTGATGGTTTGTATTCATTACCTAAAGAAAAAGACTAAACGTTTTGATAGTTCATATCTAATAAAAAAATCAATTTCATCTTTGTTACTAACATCATTAACCCTTTCTCTTATCCACCTAGTTAGGCGAACAACATAGGCTACTCTTCATTGCCATCACTTACTTTCAAAAGCTAATTCGTATCGTATTCTCTTCTACCATTTCGCCTTTCCATATAAACTAACTTTAACTTAAAGCCAGCTGATATTTACTTAACGAAAGATTAAAAAAGTTAACCGGTCAAAATTGGGCAGTTAATTATCTAACGACGGTTTAGTCTAAACTAGCGCTAACGGCGAGTGGTGAAATCCGATTTCGTCAGTTAAGAGCTAACTGCAGTTAGAGCAAGGCTTAACGGTGGTTTAAAAGTTTGGTGAAATCGGGCCTAAGCAACACTATCTATATCTATGGTACTAGTACAAACACTAACCACCTCCCATTGCAGTTCACCCACGGCCACCTTTAACTCCAGGCTGCGGCCTTCGAAGTGGCAACATTGCAAGTAGGGTTGTGGTTGTAACGGCAGTTTTGTTTGGAGGCAGCTAATGGTATTTATGCTGCAATACACTGTTTTGACGAACTTCCCACGCAAGGATTAGTCCAGAAAACAGATATTTGCTGTCAGCCGCTTATCAAATGGGGTTTCATTGCGTACTACCATAGATAAAACATACTACTGTACTGTAATGAGTTTTACCGGACACCAACCAGCTGATTATATACCGTATTTGACAAAAGCTTGGTTACTGGTATATGAAAATATTGACTCCACTTTAAATGTGCAAAAATGGATTTTAAATTAAAATATTGTTTTGGTTTTAAATATTCTATTTGTTTTATTTTCAATCTTTTAATAAATTTATGTTCTTAAATTTAGATGAATAATACGCGAATTAATGAGCTGATGTCACATGTCTGCCATGTTATCTTATGGGGACATCTAACGCTAACTACATGTGACGTTGCCAACTCTACCAGGCTGCGGCCTCTGGAGTGCATTAGTCCGGTTTATTGAATTGCTCGTAATTTTGTAAATATTAATTAATTGGTGTCATAATATCAAATTAGATTTGAAATAAATAAAGAATCCTCCTGCAAGTTGAAAAAAGGCGTCACGAAATATCTGCTTCCACCAGCATCATTGAAGTATGCATATAATAAAAATTATTTAGTACATATTTCAAACTAGGAGATAAAGTATTAATTTTCTTAAAGTACAAACACAATCTTCCCAGTGCGGTTCCACTGACTCCACCTCGCTGTAGCCACGGCCACCTAATAAAAGCGGCCGTGGCTGTAGCGCGGTGTCGGTGTCAGGGTGGACCTGTGACGCATGTGGTACCACATGTAGTGACGTCATAACGGTACCTGAAAAATCTCCCGGGTGCCGCACCGGTGTCCAATCCCATCGCAGTAAGGTTAGGTTAGGTTTTGTAGGCTTGGCATGTTGTTATTCAATATTCACAACACAATGCTGGCGTAAATGTGAATTTGTTTACTTTTATTTTAATAATACAGAATTTACAATGTACTAAATATATTTTTGTGTCCTTTTTGCCTTTTAAGATGTCAGAAGTGGACCCGATCCAAGTGGAAAAGTCTGCCAAAAGGAAAAAATCCGGCCTCAATAAAAATGAAGAATCAGAGTTGGAAAGGTTAGTTTAACTGCAGACTACTTAACTTAAATTTGATGAACAACTCAGAGGCTGCACTTTACTTAAGGTCCTACACTAATTCGAATGAAAATATTGATTATTCGATTGTTTCATTCGATATATCGTTTGGTTAGTTAGGTTAGGTTAAAACCTTACCTAACTAACCAAACGATATATCGAATGAAACAATTGGTCAATCGATATATCGATCGATATTTTCAATCGAATGAGTGTAGAACCTTAAGTAAAGTGCAGCCGATTCGATTAGTAAACCTTCATGCGATTTTTTTACCATCAGCAAGTTTGGTTGGTTAGGTTAGGCTATGATACCTTAGTTTAATTTTATAGGTATTTAAAAATATCGATTACCGTATCTATCAATATTTTCAATTCGATAGTTTCAATCAATATTAGTGTAGCCTAGCCAAGTTAAAAAACTGTACTTACCCAAACTAGCAGTGATAATTGGTGTGAACCTGGCAATAACTCCAGCCATAAGTAGTGCGCGCGCCCGAAAAAATCTATTGCTGGCCGCTTTGCGGCAAAATACGTCCGCGATGCATATTACCGATTATGCCAACAGATAGAGGACACTTTAACGGACACGACAGTATCAATATTATGTACCTGGGGAGTAGTATAAGGGGGGTAAAATCGGCAAAAAGTAGTGCGCGCGCTACAAAAAATCTATTGCTGGCCGTATTACGGCAAAATACGTCCGCGATGCATATTACCGATTATGCCAACAGATAGAGGACACTTTAACGGACACGACAGTATCAATATTATGTACCTGGGGAGTAGTATAAGGGGGGTAAAATCGGCAAAAAGTAGTGCGCGCGCTACAAAAAATCTATTGCTGGCCGCTTTGCGGCAAAATACGTCCGCGATGCGTATTACCGATGATGCCAACAGATAGAGGACACTTTAACGGACACGACAGTATCAACATTATGTACCTGGGGAGTAGGTTAAGGGGGGTAAAATGAGCAATAAGTAGTGCGCGCACCACCAAAAATCTATTGCTGGCCGTATTATGGCAAAATACGTCCGCGATGCATATTACCGATTATGCCAACAGATAGAGGACACTTTAACGGACACGGCAGTATCATTATTATGTACCTGGGAAGTAGTATAAGGGGGGTAAAATCGGCAAAAAGTAGTGCGCGCGCTACAAAAAATCTATTGCTGGCCGTATTGCGGCAAAATACGTCCGCGATGCATATTACCGATTATGCCAACAGATAGAGGACACTCTAACGGACACGACAGTATCAACATTATGTACCTGGGGAGTAGGTTAAGGGGGGTAAAATGAGCAATAAGTAGTGCGCGCACCACCAAAAATCAATTGCTGGCCGTATTACGGCAAAATACGTCCGCGATGCATATTACCGATTATGCCAACAGATAGAGGACACTTTAACGGACACGACAGTATCAACATTATGTACCTGGGGAGTAGTATAAGGGGGGTAAAATCGGCAAAAAGTAGTGCGCGCGCTACAAAAAATCTATTGCTGGCCGTATTACGGCAAAATACGTCCGCGATGCATATTACCGATTATGCCAACAGATAGAGGACACTTTAACGGACACGACAGTATCAATATTATGTACCTGGGGAGTAGTATAAGGGGGGTAAAATCGGCAAAAAGTAGTGCGCGCGCTACAAAAAATCTATTGCTGGCCGCTTTGCGGCAAAATACGTCCGCGATGCGTATTACCGATGATGCCAACAGATAGAGGACACTTTAACGGACACGACAGTTTCAACATTATGTATCTGGGGAGTAGTATAAGGGGGGTAAAATCGGCAAAAAGTAGTGCGCGCGCTACAAAAAATCTATTGCTGGCCGTATTGCGGCAAAATACGTCCGCGATGCATATTACCGATTATGCCAACAGATAGAGGAAACTTTAACGGACACGACAGTATCAACATTATGTACCTGGGGAGTAGGTTAAGGGGGGTAAAATGAGCAAAAAGTAGTGCGCGCACCACCAAAAATCTATTGCTGGCCGTATTACGGCAAAAGCCAGCAATGGATTTTTTGTAGCGCGCGCACTACTTTTTGCCGATTTTACCCCCCTTATACTACTCCCCATATACATAATGTTGATACTGTCGTGTCCGTTAAAGTTTCCTCTATCTGTTGGCATAATCGGTAATATGCATCGCGGACGTATTTTGCCGCAATACGGCCAGCAATAGATTTTTTGTAGCGCGCGCACTACTTTTTGCCGATTTTACCCCCCTTATACTACTCCCCAGGTATATAATGTTGATACTGTCGTGTCCGTTAAAGTGTCCTCTATCTGTTGGCATTATCAGTAATATGCATCGCGGACGTATTTTGCCGCAATACGGCCAGCAATAGATTTTTTGTAGCGCGCGCACTACTTTTTGCCGATTTTACCCCCCTTATACTACTCCCCAGGTACATAATGTTGATACTGTCGTGTCCGTTAAAGTGTCCTCTATCTGTTGGCATCATCGGTAATATGCATCGCGGACGTATTTTGCCGCAATACGGCCAGCAATAGATTTTTTGTAGCGCGCGCACTACTTTTTGCCGATTTTACCCCCCTTATACTACTCCCCAGGTACATAATGTTGATATTGTCGTGTCCGTTAAAGTGTCCTCTATCTGTTGGCATCATCGGTAATATGCATCGCGGACGTATTTTGCCGCAATACGGCCAGCAATAGATTTTTTGTAGCGCGCGCACTACTTTTTGCCGATTTTACCCCCCTTATACTACTCCCCAGGTACATAATGTTGATACTGTCGTGTCCGTTAAAGTGTCCTCTATCTGTTGGCATCATCGGTAATATGCATCGCGGACGTATTTTGCCGCAAAACGGCCAGCAATAGATTTTTTGTGGCGCGCGCACTACTTATTGCCAAGTTATTGCCAGGTTCACACAAGTGCAGTGATACGAATATTTATGCCAACTCTTGAAAGAATAAACATTCAGTTAATTAATGAACCTACAAGGGTGACAGCAACTCAGCCACCTTGTTAGACCATATAGGCCCTAGGTAACCGTGGGCAGGTCGGTAGAAGTCAAGACCAAGTGACCAAGAGGACCGGTGTAGGCCTAATTAATGCAAACTACCATTTTACAAAGGCAACACAGGAAAGTCAGTTACGGATAGGGGGCTCAATCCCGGGCCTTCAATCCGATCCTGGGTTTACGGGATTCATCTCAGCTGATCCCGGGATTACATTATATTATTTTATGATTTTAACTTTTTAGCCATTTTAAATTAGCGTGAAGTCCCCTTGTTGAATCCTCTAATGTTTTATACTGGCCTTAATGGTGTTACTTTGCACAATTTTGCCAATTTCAAAGTAAAGAAATATTACCACACGGAACTTTCATCGCCCGTCTATCTTATTTTCAGTGTATAGCCTATATAAGAAAGTGTTAAATGAACATGTCAGTCTTGAATGAAATAAGTTAAACACATTAAACAAATTACGAGCTACAGGTACCGCACTCGCATGTTGTACATGTCACGCTAATAGGGCCTATAAAATACAAATTAATCAAAGTATAAATATAATACGGGAAGAACCATGAGTTGCAGCGTTAAAATATTATGTTGACTGACAGCAATAAAACATTTTAAGGTACTGTACAAACAATAAACAATCTGCTTATGTAGTAACGTGTGTACAAAAAACTTATTTTAACTTAATACGGTACAGGATTGTAAAAAAATTAATCACCACACTTTATACTAAGTAGGCTACCTACAAAGATAAAGTTATAAACTTAGGCCTAGACCATAATTTATTTAAAGTAATCTTAATAATGAAATAGGCTAATAATGGTGTGTTTATAGTTAATATTTAGGCATTTAATGTTATTAGGAGAATAATATTTAATTACCGATTGCCATGTTATCTTTGCCACATCAATTGTGTTGTTTGCGTTAGGCCTAAATGACAAAAGTAAAACTTATAATTAGGGATGGACGAGATTGGATTTTTAGTTCGAGACGAGGCGAGACGAGATTTTTATTTCTCATAAAATTTCAAGACAAGATCGAGACGGGATTTTCCTTCTCATACACAACGGGAAATGCAGACGTTCAAAATTTTTACCTGATTTTGTAACATTGTTAGATGACTGTTTAAATACAAAAATAATGATAATAGTCAAGAATATTTGCAATCTTTTATAAAAAAACGTCAGCATAAAATTTTTTTATTAATCATGCCTAACTTATTAAAAATGCCTACGATTAGGAAACATAGTGATATCAGTTAGGATAGAGTTCAACTTATCCTAGAATAAAATAAATCATAAAATAAAAGCAATATTAATTTTTATAAAATAGTTATTTGTTTTGACTTTTTATAGTAATAAAACATTCCTCACACTGCTTACACTTAACAAAACTTCTCAAATGTTATTAAAGTAATATTATTAAAATAAAAGTAATATTTACATTTAAAGAATTAATTAAATAAGAACGCCTTCGCAAAGGAAATGCAACTACAACACACTCCTGTATTGCGGGTATTGCATTGACTTTCTGCAGGCGTTTTTAATTTTTTTTATTTAATTTTTTTTTATTCTCGTCTCGATAAAAATCTCGGCCAAAAAGAAATCTCGTCTCGTGTAACGAGATTTAAAATTTCTAGAAATTTCGAGACTTGACCATCCCTATAATAACCTATCTGCATAGACCTAATGGAAATTATTGCGATGAGGGTGACCAAGAGTTTATCATTAGAAACTAGATTTTTACCTAAAAATAATGGTGCAAAAATTTTTCTGCTGCCACAAAAATTGAATTTACTACAATTTTTTGAAGTTTATTACTGTAATGCCTCTTGTTGGCTGGTCTCTGTAGCCATTACTGTGAATTTACTGACTAGTGACTAGACTAACACAAACATTCATGAACGTTTGAAATTAAAAGGATTGTCTAGAGAAGAAGAAGACACCAAAGATGACAAAGAGTAAGTTTATACAAAGAGGTAGAGGTATTTGTAAATTCAACTTGATCGTTGATTATGAACTACTTCAGTTCTTATTTAGACATGTGAGGTTGGTAGGTTGGGTGTTATGTGGACTCGTGACTGTATTAAGTTAGGTTAGATTAGGAAGGTAAAGTTTACGTTGCAATGAATCGAGTAGTTGATTTATATTATCTCCAGACTGTTTATGCACTTTGTAAAAATTACTACTAACATAATGAATAACAATTTTAAAAATGCTGCACATTTTTGAAATTATTATTTATTGTGCTTGTAGTAAATTTAATTTTGCCTCTCCGAATCGAAACCCCACTCTGCTTGGCTCTTAAGGGCGCGCTTTACCCCTCACGCGCAACCGAATGCAAGGGTTTGCAAGATTTCTGTTTTCACCTGCTACATTGAAGGTAGAATCAAAGTTAAGGTCTCATATTAAAGAGGATAAAATTGTCTATAGTTCTTTGTTTCTATATTTCAATTATTTTAAATATACACCTTATAATCTTCAGTTGTAGTACAAGAAAAAAGGGTCTTTTCAACTAGCCTTAACTAATAAAAAAAAAAGTTTTTGAACATCTAAAAAACGCAGAACTATAGATTGGTCTTTTTACTACTATAAGCCGTTTAGTAGCTATCATTATTTGTTAATTCTAAAACAGTAATCTTGGAAACATCTGCAAGCGCTTCTCGCGGCACTGTCCAATGGTGAAACATAGCTACTGAAGCCTGAGCTGAGGTAAAGCGCACCCTTAATTAAATATTACTAGTGGATTGCAAGGTCAAAAGTGCTTAAAAAGCTCAAATGTAAGTTAAAACAAATTAGGTCATTGTAATATTTAAACAAACTAAGTTAAGAATCTAATGATCTTTGGGTCACAAATGATATAGACCTGTACACCATATATTTTGTGAAAAGAACAGTCTCTTTGTTTGCTTTGGTTGTTGTTATAAAAAAAAAAATAACTTCCAAATTTTATCTGATAGATAAAACTGATAGTATTAAGCTGCAAGCATTCATTGTACTATATCAATTCGCACAGGGTAAATCTCTGCTTCTTATATCTGGAACCTATTAAAATATAAATGATAACACAGGACATTATTTTACAGTTTGGAGAAACTCCTTCTAGGAAGAGGAAAGAACGTTCTAGATAATGCAACTGTTGAAGATGCTGGCAGTCGCAAAAAAATCAAGAAAGCATTCAAACCTGCTTGGGAAGACCCTGACGATTCCAGTCTAAAGTAAGTTTTTTAGAAGAATAAGGTAACTTACTATTACGTGCTAAGATAAGCCTAAATACTTATAATGAGTAGATTGCAGTCTAAAAATAAGTATAAATTGTATTTTGTTGTCAATTTAAACAGGCAATGTACATCCAGTTTAAGCAACACGTACAACATAAAAGTAATCATCCAACAATCCCATATAATTTAACGTCAGTATTTTATTTTGGCCACATTTTGTACGTTTGAAAGTGGCTTTCTGCCAAAACTTGTAACACCCTGCTTTTCAAATTCTAGAACTGCCAAAAAGGTATATACCTTACTAGTCATTTATGCAGTTTAAGGGTTAGATTAAATTTAATGTTAATTGTTTAACCTTTCAAATTACTTATTTAAATTAAGTTATTCACGGGACACATCTTGTCGATTATATTCACTAACTGAGTAATTGTGGTGTTACCGAAGTTGGACACCACTGCCTTAGTAGCTAAGTATTTTCTGTTGTATTTAAACTGGTTTCATAGTTTTTTTTATGAACAGTGTAAATGATGCACTCTCAGCACAAGGTAGACCCAAAATGGGTGTTCCTGGTAAACCTTCAGACCAATACCAGACAGTGCTGAAGAAAAGATTTGAAACACGTATTGGCAACCCTGAGTGGGCTAGATTAGACAGACAAGTAGAAAATGAAGATGAGGAAGAACTGCTAAAGGTAAGTAAATACAGCTTAGACTTTGGATAATAAACTAATGGCCTGCTTTTAAAATACTGTAAATAAGTTAGACCTGCGATCCTGTGCAACGTAGAAGATATTTATTTATAAACCTTGGGTTGGAACAAATGTATGCACTCATACTTTACTGTTACTGTTGTTAACATTAGACAATTCTTTAATTACCTTTGAAATAGGTCTTTGCGAAATATTATTTGGCTATCAAAAAATCCGTTAACTAGATGCTCACCCCCCGATAGTTGTCAAGCATGTTAACTCTTCTAAGATAAAATGCATTATGCAAACAGCTTTTTATTATATTCTTATTATATTCTAGTGAACACTTCCGCAACCAGTCTAGGTTTTATTCAGTGGGAACGACATAACATTGTGACTAATAAAAACACATTTTCTGTTCCACCTAGTGTTTATTTTTTAGTTTAATATTAGAAATGTAAACTGACACAGTTCCCACTAATCAATACATCAGATATTTTTTCTTCTTACCGTGACACATTTTGATGCTACCGAAAACCACCATCAATGCTGCATTTTTTAGGGATTTAGTTCTTGTAACTGCTCATTGAGTAGCCTACTTTGTACAGATTCTTTTTAATTTTTCTTTATAATTTCAGCGATGTGGAAACTTTATTGAAAAGCAGCCTGGTGCGTTGACTAAAGGTTCGCTTGATATAAAGAAACTGCAGAATCTCAACAAATCCACAGGCAGAGAAGGACCTTTTATCAACTCTCTACAGTTCCATCAGACGTCAACTGTAGCCCTGGTGGCTGGAAGTGGAAGCATCGCTTCTATATTCCAGGTTGGTTCTTGTTATATTTCAATTGAAAATTACTCAATTCCATTTGCCATGAATTCCAATTGGAAGATAGACCATTAGGCTACATATATTTCAATTATATACCTGCTACCCACATTCAAGTTAATATCTGTATTCAAAGGATGTAAATGGCTATTTTAAAAGTCTGATGTTGGTAAAACTCATTAGTGTGAACAGGTGATATACATCGGTTTATATTGCACAAAGGTCCCAGGTTGTAATAAGGTCGTTAACAAAATGAGTTTTTAAAATGATAATTAGTGTATGGAAATATACAATTTTTAAAACTACTACCTTTTAAGACCAAAAAAGATTTAGTTTGCCTAAAAGAGTCAACAAAAAACAAATCATCTTTATTAGGGTATAATTTGTATTTTATTTTAAGGTAATACTCGTAGTAGGCCTAGTTAAGCAAAAACATTGATGATAATGTAGTTATCCCTGATCTGGGTCTGAAACTCATATGCTGAGTTATGATATAACCTTTGACTATTAATACAACAACTTCTGTATCCAATAGTCAATGGATATAATAAAAATTAACATATTATTTTTAGGACTTCAGCTAAAAATCTAAATCTTTACTGGACAAAAAACTACTTTTGTTTATTACACGGTGTTCTGAATACAGCTGATAATGACCACTTGTGAAAGAAATGTGTGTTTGTTAATAAATTTGGGATTGAAGTAATACCTGGGAGTTAGGATATGAATTGTTACGATTATCAATCGCCGAAATACTTTATTCAAAGAAGAATTTGTCAGCATCATCTTGCATTTATCCTTGCAGATCTTAACAATGTGTTGAATTGTAACAAGTATATGACTGACTCTGAAGTGTGTGTTGACAGGTTGACGGCTTGACCAACCCCCACTTGCAGTCCGTCAAGTTTGACAGGTTCCCAGTGAGATGTGCCAGGTTTTCCCAGGATGGTTCACAGTTCATCGTAGGCTCCCAACACCACAGCCACTACTTTGTGTACGACATGATGGAGGGTCGCACCATCCGGGTGCCGACTCATCACACCACCGAGCAGACCAACATGAAGGTATTACAGTCATAATACTTTCTGATCTCAAACAGTCAATAGCCGGTTCTGAATTTTGTTAATTATTGAGATAAAGTTGGTAAAAAGTGGGTTTTTCTAAGGGTTTTCCATGTTAAAATTGCAAGGGAATTGTTAAGTTTGTTTTAACTGCTCCATAATGAAGCTTGCCAACCTGTATACCCACTGGCAACAGATCATCCGACAATTATGCAGTGTGGTTGAAATACTCTAATAGTGTTTTCAATCAATCTCAACTTGTAGCAAATGTATTAAATAAGTTAGGCCTGAGTATATAAAGGTTTGTGGCGATTGAAGATTTAATAAAATATGGAAAATTGTATGTGGTAATAGAAACTGGAAACAGTGGGAACATCCCACATCTCCCCAGTATGCTTCAAACCTTACATCGTTGGCAATACTATCAACAAACAACAGTTTATTACTATCACAATGTGATACATTTTTTCCTTGTTTATTGAACTGGGGTGGACATTTCCTCATTTTGATTCACCTTCTCTTCCAACAAACCCTTAAATACTTCACGATGAACTTGGTCTGTATTCAATACTCATGCTTGCTGTGTCTCGGCAGAAGTTCGAGGTGTCGCCAGATGGCAGGTTGATCGCAGTGTGTGGCAGGTTTGGTAATATCCATCTGCTACACGCCCGCACCAAGGAGTGGATCGGGGCTCTCAAGATGAACGGAGAAGTGACAGCGATCTGCTTCAGCCCTAGCGGAGATCAGCTGTGGTCACATGGAGGTTGGTGTTCTTGGAATCATTGTTGTTTACTTAGTAGTTATGATTGACTAAAAACATGTGATAAGTGTTATGAAAATGTTTATATTTCTCGTAAAAAAGGAAGTTTGGAAAAAGTAATTTTACGCTGGTTTGATATGTAAATGTTATCCTAGAATGTATCTAACAAATCATTAGCACTTTGCATGATTATTCATAGGGTTGAACTAGAGCGTCGATTACCCGAAACAATTGGGGCAGAGGGGTGATCGAATAATACATTTTTCGGATAGTCGGACATTTCAAATGGCTGTATTTCTTAGTTAAGCATAATTAGAATCCCTCAACCTAGGCTTAATTGTATAGTTTGAGCTATGGACAACATTTGCGATCATTGTAGGAGCTTAATTTACTCTAATGCTACCGTGATCGGCAGCAAAGGCAGTAAAATCGCCAAGATCATTGGCATATCTGTCAATATTCACCATGATCATCTTTTTTTATTGTACATAGAGCAATAAAGCATAGTATACTAATCTACCACAATGTTTCATAGGTGAAATGCAAATAAAACACTGTTTTGGAGAGAATAGTACTCAATGTAGGGAAATTTTAATGGACACTTTACACATAGACCTACAGTAAGCCTACAGTAGGCCTACAGTAGTGGTAGTGAGTCGGTGGCTCAGTCGGTAGCGTCGCGCACTTCGGGCCAAGGCAGCAATATCGTGGGTTCGGATCCTGGTCACTGCCACTGCCACTAAAATTTATCAGTACAGTTCACCTTTGTACTGTAGCCTACCGGCTCACTCCTTGCTTTGCTGTAAACGTTCCACGCACGGGCGGTTAGTCTATGTGGACGGGCAAATACAAGGTTACAAGAGGCTCCCAACCTCTTTAAATAAGATTAGATATTGAACATTATTAAAACTCATTGGATTACTGACCTAGGAAAAACTAAAAACAGTTCAAAATAATAACTGGTAAGAAGGAATTGTACATGTTTTAATGGTTGTTTGCATAAGGTTTAAAGTCTTTTTGCTGCACAATCACTGTTGCCACTGACACAGAGTGAGGTTATGTGTTTGTGTTTACATGTAGGGTCTACATGACAGCACGATCACCATGTCGCTGAGTTTTGCATGAAACGTTGTACCCTGTGCTGCTCTAATAATGTAATGTTGCTGTGGCGGTAAATTTGAATTTACCGTCTTTGGCGGCAATTTCGGTTAACCAACGTTTTGGATTACCGGCATTGGGATAATCGGCTCTCTACCTTAATAATTTTGGGGAGCGAGCTGGTAGAGCTCAGGGCTTCGGAGCCCGAGGTCCCAGGTTTTTATTCCGCCAATCACCAATGGATTTCATCTATGTGATAATGCCACAATCCTCTAGGATTAGCCTGAAGTAATATGTTAACAATTTTCAGGCTAGAAACTAGCCTCCAAACCCCACAAAGAAAATAAATCAAAATCTTTTGTAGTACTTTTGAGTAGGCTAGTCAATTTTTAAAACATTTTAAACAAAAATTTATTCAACCCATGGATTTTCACACTAATCCATTATTTGCTAAGGGTTGTGTTCCTTTTCAGACTCAGGTGAAGTTTACGTGTGGGATACAGCTAGTCGCAAATGTCTCCATCGATTTACAGACGAAGGGTGTATACACGGGACCAGCATAGCTATCTCTCCCAGCAACCAGCTGGTGGCTTGTGGCAGCAGGTGAGCTATAGACTCCCATCTGTTTCAGTTATTTTGAAACTCAATACACTTCTTATGAGCATACAAAGTTACATCTGTCTTTAAACACCTGAATCTGTCTTAGAACTTGAAACTGTTTAGGTCAGGAGTGGTAAACGTGTATGAAGCACAGTCAGTTCTGAAGTCTTCCACTCCGCAGCCAGCCAAGGCCTTGCTGCATCTCGTCACCTCTGCAACATTTGTTAAGTTCAATCCCACCAGCCAGATCCTGACTATGGCTTCTGATGATAAGGAGGGAGCTCTTAAACTGGTAAGTACAGTAATTGTTTGTATTTGACCGTTGATAGTCAGCCAGTTATTATCTAAAGTTGTTCAATGATGCCTTTTTTTATTGGCTTAGGTCCACATGCCATCAATGACGGTGTTCAGCAACTTTCCTGCCAAGGACAGTTTCTTGGGTCGGGTCAACTGTCTCGACTTCTCCCCCGGGAGTGGATACATGGCTGCAGGCAACAGTCAGCACACTGCTCAACTATATAGGTAAGCTCATAGTCTAATGGCAGTTGCGTTAGGTTACCCTTTAAGGCTCCGCTCTACCTCCACGGCAAAATCGCATTACAGTTCGACCGACTGCCGCTTGGCGCGCTCCTCGGCCAGGCGCGTGAGGGGAAGGGTCATGGCCTCCGTGGAGGGGATTAGTTAGTGGTTGGAGGCAGCCACGGTACACAACAACAGTTGCGCGCTTATCGCTGCGCTATGCCACTGCAACCGTTGGCTACACTCACACTGACCATTGACAGTTACAATTTATGCTGACAAATTGAGCTAACAGCACCTATGATATCTGAAATATTATAGCTCATCCTCTTTCTTCAAATTAAGTATTAAGCTTGCTGATTTTACCACAAATTGTATTTACCCTATCTTTAAAGTTAACGGATAAATAAATTTCAATGCACACGTAAGATTTAATATGTATAACTACGGCATCTATCGATTTATTATATTACTATATAATATTAATTAAATTAAAATAAATCTTGTATGTTCATAAGATGATTAATTGTATAGATTATTTAATATTAAGTATATAGTTAACGGATATAGTTAAAATGAACGATTAAAAGTGAAAATAATCAAACAACAATGCTGACAGCTCCAAATTGAAGTTTAATTTGAAATTGTATCAAAATGTACAATTAAATTCCATCTCTGATAGGCATTCCTCTGGGATGTCTAGGATCAATGATTTCTGGAAGCAAAGACGATTCGTAAAAATCTAACAGTCGTTTTTCCATGTTTGAACTCCAAAAATTGTCGTCCTTCACAATTTTCTCAACAGACATTCCATGAGGGGTCCAAACAACAAACCAACAATATGGCTTATTGGTTACACGAAGCTGTCCTTGCACCTGATAATAGTAATTGTGGTTTTTCTTTAGAAAAATCTCCCCTTCATATTCTGTACAGTATTTTATAACTTTGTTTTTTACTGCTTCAACTGGGGTCAAGTCTTTGGCCTTTGCTGGACATTTCACTTCTACGAGGAATTTGTTATCGAACATTCCATCTGGGCTTGCTGCAAGGAAGGGGTACTGCATGTCGATGAACAGACCACACGGTTCCACTTGAATCAAGAGTAGTTCAGTTAGTTGGGCAATCGCAACCTTCTCTTTTTCCAAACCATATCTGAAAAAATATATTAAATTAATAGAATAATCTTATGTTATAAAACCAATCTTATTTAAATCGATAAATGCAATACTGTAATGTTTAAGAGTCGTACTCCAGTTGTTCCTTTAATTGATTTGCAATTTTTTTTTACTTATGTCAATCATTTGATAAACACAATATAACAATAAGATCTGTGGTAAAAGAAGGTGAATATTTAACAATTTACTGCATTATCATCTAACAGTGTTTGAGTGTTAATCTAGTACAACAATCGCTAGAAATTGTAAATTAATTGCTTTGACTAAATGTTAAATTAATGTCTATATCCACTAAAAAACACTGACAATTTGAGGATGTTATTCTTTTTTTTCTTTCCTTTACCCATAGCTCACATGTGCTTTGACCCCTTGACTTTTTTTCCAGTTCATTCCTTTCGTCTTCGTTTAGACTAAAGCGGCCCACACACTGGGGCGCTTGTGCGCGCACATGTGACGCGCGAACAGCTCTACGCACATGCGCCTCAATGTGTGGGTAAATGTGCCCATGCTCGCGACGCGCATGCGAGGTGTCTGGTGCCTGCCGCCGGACCTTCGAGCATCGTCAGTCGTCACAAGTGCGCGAGCTTGTTATGATGCGCGCCAGTCTGTGGGAAACCGAGGCACATATTCGCAAGCTAGCAGTACTAACCATAGCTGCATATACTGTAAATCGGGAAATACAAGGTCTGCGCCTGCGTGGCACAGTGTAACATTGAGGGCCTATTCACACTGGGCCACCATGGTGGCGACACCGGTGGTGACACTGGTGGCCGGTCAAAATGTGCATGGACCACCAGCTCAGCCACCAGTGCAGCTGCAGCCACAAAGCTCACAGTTGGTCGTCGAAGAGGCAGGTGCTTAGCGTATATATATTTTTGAAATTGCGAAATCATAAGAAAAAAACGTAGTTTTTTGGTTCATCCGTTTTTATGAGATATAAGTACCAGAGGGACTTTTTTCATTCACTACCAAGTCCTTAGAAATAACCCTGACACGTTTCACACTTACTCAAGAATGAGTGTTTTAAGTTTTGAGGAGCGTCAGAAGGGACGTCTGAAAGATAAAATATCAGGAAAATCTACGAGACTGCGGGGCAGCATATCCAGAAGAGAAACTGCTACTAACGTTGTGGAAAATTAAATAAAAACATAGTTAATATACCATTTATTAATAACACTGTAATACCTTGACTCAATGTATACATCTCTGTAGACATCTCTTATTCGCCTCAGGTGAAAATGAGGTGGAGTCTATACAAAATATTTTACTAATAGGTTACTTATAACTACCTATCTGTACTTACCTAGTAGTTTATGTAGACCTCTATATTTTAGCAATGAGCATTTTAACAATTTCCTACTTAGCCAGTTAGCTGTAAAGTGGCTATAATATCAATGAATTTATGCTTACTGTGATCTTTACTCAGACTTTCCTCATACAGTAGTAGTAGGAATAAAAAATACCTGTAAGCCTATCCTTGATTGTAGTAACCTACCCCGGTACCAACTAATAAGTAATAAGTAATATTTGGCTAGTGAATAGTAAAATAATATTATGTACTTCTAATTTAAATAACTCTCATCATACATTACCTATTCTCTTCCTTATTTGTCTTCAATTCACGCCAACGATGTAAACTCTGACTTCCCTTGTTCTTAAATCTTCTGGCACTTAAATTAAGGTGTTTCTTTTTTCTAGTCCTAGGATTAGGCATCTCGAGGCACACCAGCAATGACAAAAAATAAACACCAAAACACTCAAAACATGAAAATCACTGCAAGAGTGCAAGCGAGTGAAAAGCACGTGGTCGTGGTAGTCGCCTCAGTTGGCATCTTCCCGCGCGCGCGCATTCGCAGACGGCTCGGCGCCATGGTTTTGGAGATGGGGATGGGATTTTGAGGCTGTAGCCTACAAGAGCGGTAATGGCCCATAAGCCTACCATATCGGCTTATTAAAACCCGTCCCTATACTATTAGACCGAAAACTTGACCTTGGCTAGAGGTCATCGGTGCAGAGTAATTTAGTATATTGAAGCGCTGTTGTATGCCTACGGTCAGGGAGAAATTAAAAAAAGTTTGTTAAAAATTACCATGTTATTCTTATGGAGAAATTACTTTACTTATTTATGGATATATGTTGATAACATTTGGCAAAATCATTCATCCTACTGACGTATGGTCAAAAAACACTTTTTACCTTCCCCGTAGCAGGAAACCTAAGCACTCGTTAAATCTTTTGTTATTTAAATTGAAATCAGTTTGTCTTATTTATTAAAATATTTTAGTAAAAAATAATGTACTCATACAAGTTGAAATTCGCTTAGTCTGTATAGTTTTGCTGCGACAGGGTATTTTATTTGTAGCCCGTGTTATGACTTGTACTGAATTTGAATTTGAAGTTGAATGGCTGAGTGGTCAATAGTCTAGCTAGAACATTTGAGGTATCAGATTCAAGTCCCCAACTTGGAGGGGTTAATTACAAAAGTTTAAAATGCTGTTTCAATTAATCAGCACTATTGAGTACTGGTTTTCTTAAAACACATGTAATTATGGTTGTTATTACAACAATCTCATACCCGACGTTTATAAACAAACTTATATTTTGGTAAAGTTTTAAAGCTGTATCTGTGCAAGCAAGTTGCATTGGCTGAGTAACTGTTTACAAAGAGGACAGTATACTCCTATCCTATGTGTAAAAACGGCGACGACGCAAAGATGGAACAGATTCAACCGAGAGGAGGGGAAATATCGATCGATGGCTGTGGTGGGAGAGCTGACGACAGGTAGAGCCGTTGGCCGCATGGCCGCGCCACTGCACGGCGCCTTGAAGAGCGCTTGCAATCCTTTCGAGTCTGCGTGATTACATGGTTATCATTCAACTTTTTAGTAAACTAACTTCAGATTCTTGTTTTTAAGCATCTATTGCACTTGTCCCGTTTTGTATTTTTTCTGTAAAAATTATTTTAATGTATTAAAACTTATGATAAAAAACGCCTATTTTTACATTTTTCACCAACCCGTGAGCCCAACATTTTTTAAATTATCAAAATTTAAAAAAACGGGATACCTACAATAACATTTAACGAAAAATATGACACCAAGATCTTTTAAATCGGTTCACAATTGGGGCTACAAACAGGAAGAACTAATACCCTTACATTTGCGCGCGCCAGACGGGGTAGAGCGCAGCCTTAAATCAGATGGCATTTTATGAACTTTTGACCCAGTTGGAAAAACTCAGAAACATTGAACGTATTCAAATTTTAAAACTTTAACTTTGAATTTTACAACACTTGTTTAACTTTGTAGTAAACAAATGAAACATAGACTGAAGTTTCTAGTTTCTAAAGTAACAATCAAAACTTTACTATCACCATGGTCTGTGTAATAAACTATATTTTTCTTATCTTTTAAAAAATGAAGATTATGTTTCTTGTTTACTATTGTAAGTTATAACTTCAAAAAAAATCCTCCATCCTCTTAACTATAAAGCCCCCCATACACGGGCACAGGGGTGCCCATCCCCCCCAAAGCTCACGTCGCAGAATCCCCCCCAAAGCTCACGTCGCAGAATCCCCCCCCAAATTCGTTGTTTAAACCATGCCGGAAGGTCTGGGGGCTAACCTATAGTTATGTTTATAATAAGGGGAGGGAAGGGGTGCCCTTGACACTTCTTTAAATTTATGGGAATTTCAGCGTTCGAATCAAACTTTTAACCCAATTTAAATGGACAATTTTGCTTTTAAACTCTAGTAGCAAACTATTTGTTAGTTTAGTTTTAATTTAAATAAGTTGGATTTTTAACATGCACACAATTTGAATCAAAATTGGCCATGTCTTTTTTTTATCCGATTTTCCATGAATTAATAGGTTTTAAAAGGGAAAATCACAAAAGTTGCAATAATTTTTGAACCATCATTTTTACGGCATAGAGGGTTTATACAATTTTCGTCACAGTCAAAGAGTATAACGTGTGAATTTTTAATCAAAATCGTTCGGGCCAATTCTGAGAAAATTTTATTCATCCATTATTTTATAGGGTTTTATGGAATATCACTATTAAAAATCCGAAATGAAAAAAAAAACATCTGGAGAGACCATGGATTGGTACCTAAAATACCAAATTTCATCAAAATCGGACTCGGGCCACAGGCGTGGTCTGTAGCTCTGTACCATACATACACATATACACACATACAGACAGACAGACAAACACATAACTTCGAAAACCACTTTTTTGGGATCAGGGTTTTTACATAAACAATTATTTTACCATTAAATTGTAGGGGAGAAAGTACTTAAAGTTATGTCAAAAAGTTTGAGATATTTTCTAAACATATGATACGAGTCAGAAAGTGGAAATCCACATAAAAGTATCTATATATTTTATAGCAATTATAAAATGATTTATTAATCAAGATAAAATGTCAAACGGGATTTTAATTGCATAATTAATTACCCCCGTAATAAATTAAGGAGGTCGTAAAAATTATCTGATTAATCTTTTATGTGCTTTTAACCAACCACTGGCTTGAATCCCCCCAAAATCATAAAATCCCCCCCAAATAAATTTCTGATGTCGCATTTTGCGACATCAAACCCCCCTGTGGGCACCCCTGCACGGGCAAACAGTCGCGAGCATGTTTGTGACGGTGTTGGCGGCTAACATGCTCGCCCGTGTGTGGGGTGTGCGAGCCTTCGTACCGGCGAGCATGTTGGGCTCGGCGCACGGCTCGTCGGTCTGTTACAGCATGAGAGACTGAGTACTGTGTGGTGGCGGCAAGCAAGTCGCAAGCATGCTTGACCCGTCTGTTGGAAACGCCGAGCGTGTTCGAGAAGGTGTCCGCCAACATGCTCGCCCGTGTATGGGGGATTAAGTTTCTTCAAAGATAATTAATTTTAGTTTTTTTTTTGTTTCAGATTAAAACACTTTGGAAACTACTGAAATATAAAAACTAGATGTACATTTTTAGATTGTGTTATATTTTACTCCTATCTCCATAAATTAATTTTTTGTTACTCTTGTTTAGGATCAAATGTGTAATCTACAATCTTAAGTTTGATTTTGGCATGTATTGTGAGGGATTATTCAAATGCGTGATGTATACGAAAAGGGTTAGTTAGTAAACATATGATCTTTATCATATTTCGCACTTGTCAGAAGATCTAAACCAATAATACAAATGACATAAACTTTATTAATGCAGTCCACAACAAAAACCCAATACACAGTTTTACCATAGACTAACCAACACTTTTACCTTTAATAATCAGGTTAAAGAAACTCTGGTTATTATAATATATTTTCAAATTTAGTGGTTATTTTCATAAACAAGCAATATTCACTTGCCACTTTCAAAAGAAAGATAAAATTAAAAATTAAGTCACAATAAGCAATAAGCATATCATTAACCTCTTCTAGAGTCTAGAGAATAGTACCTGGATCTGAGCGTTGCTTAGAAATAATTATAGTTATAGACTAGTCTTTGTCCCATGGTATAATCCATCCAATAACCGGTATCAGCAATCTGACACATACTTTCTCCCATTAGCCTGTCAACAAATTATGGGTGAGCTGTGGGAGTAACTATAATATTTTATGGGGAAAATCAAAAAAGTTGTAATAACTCTAGAACTGTAATTTTTACAGCAAGGTGGGGGGGTTGCACTATTTTGTTTAGATTTATAAGGATCAAAACTGGATTTTTTTTAAATTCAATTTTTTTATTGTATGGTTTTTATGGGAAAACAAAATAAGTTACAATATTTTTTGAACCGTAATTTTTACAGCAATGGAAGTTATACAATTTTGTTTAGAATTTGAAAGGCCACAACATACTACAATTTTATCAAAATAGTTAATGCCATTTTTGAGAAAATTTGATTTTTCTGTTAATTTTTTGATTTTTATCAGAAAGTTGCCATTAAAAATCAAAATTTCTAAAAAATGAAAAAATTTCCGGAGAAACCATGGATTAGTACACCAAATTTCATCAAAATCAGACCAATGTCTGTAGCTCCTACACATCCACACATATAGACATCACATTGAAAATCACGTTTTTGGGTCCAAGGGGGACCCAAAACGGGTATCCACTCAAACTCAAAAATTTTGACAAAAACAATACTTTCTCCATAATATACTACGGTATAGGGGTAGAAGGTAAAAATTATTACGGTAAATAATCAACCTGTAAATGAACAAAATATTGTAGTTGGTGTATAATCTTATGTGAGCAGCTATGATTCTTTTGTTTACACCTTGATGCAATACAGGGTGTCCAGTAAGTAAGAATTTACAATTTTAAGTCAAGTTCTGAAAGACAAAATTAGTAAATAACTGAGAAATGACAATTTTTAATAGTTGTACAGGCCTGGCAAAATAAGGCCAAGCAGTCAGGATCGGTCTTATACCATTTCCAACCAATCCAAGATCCTGGGATAGGACTTAGGACCAAAATAATCTGTATTGGTTTTATGAATGAAAATAATTCGCTGGTTTTATAATTCACTATTCATTCCTACCTAAGTATTTTTTTTTTGCAAATATGTTTTCATTGAATTTCACCCATTACATGTTTTTTCGTAACTTGACTCCTTGATCCCCAAAACTTAGGATTAATGTAAAAATTGTAAAGGTTTTACCACTTTCACGAGCCCCATGTTATTCTTAAGGGGAATAAGATTGAAATATCGACTTAAGTATGCTCAACTAACTATGCAGTTTACCCCCCTCCTGAATTTCCAAATGACGACTAACAGCTAGGGCGGCTGGGGGCGAAGCAAAGGCGAGTTGCTGCATATAATATATTACATCAGAATATGTTTTTATTTTTCTTAAATTTGACATAATCTTCACTCCATTCCCATTGAGACTAATGTGCTGTGCTTTAAACCACTTAAATTTATCACACTGACCTGTTCCATTTAGTCACTGATGCGACATTTATTGTAACGGTAAACCAGCCCAACAACGACGTAGGCTACAGTCCTCATCCCAACATTATCTGTACAGCTGATGTCTACGCACGGTGTGACAGTGACGTCATGCAATCAGCTGATTTATGTCCCAGGTGTTGGAATGTGGAGGAACAGCTGACTCGGAGTGTTGGAATGCTGGGAATGAAATGTGTTGTAGTGTTGTAGATAATGGTCCGTTATTTCCATTATTTTTAGATTTTGCATTATTATTATTTCCATAAATATTTTATATTTTATTTTTAAATAAAAGAAATGAAAACAACGCCTGGAGATACCATGAATTTGTACCTACATACTAAATTTCATTAAAATCGGACTACAGGTGTGGTCTGTAGCTCTGTACACACGCAGACACACAGTGGTTTTCAAGTTCGAAACCCACTTTTTTGGGTTCAGGGGGACTCAAAATTGATATATCCATTCAAAAATCAAACTCGAAAATTTTAACGAAAACGATACTTTCTCCATATAGGCTACTATGTATAGGGGGAGAAAGTAAAAAAAATAAACTAAGGTAAAAACTCATGTAACAACAATCATCATGAAACTTAAAACCTAAAGGATACTGTAAGTAACTGAACAATAAAACATTTGAAAGTTTATTGCAAAATCATGGTTCTAAGTAAACTTTTAGAGATTTAGTTATTTGATTTGCCTTAACTCATAACTCATAACTCATTTATTGAACCAAAATAACAGATACAAAATTTGCATTGGTCATGTCAAATAATAGAACTAAAATTAAAATAAACAATAGACAATGTTGCTTCAATAAAACAATATAGAATGTTTTATCTATGACAATATCAATACTTCTTACAACAACTAAAAAACTAACTAACTAAACCCATCAGCGACACAATCTCGAACACTGTAGTAACCCTTGGCCAAGAGTATTTTTTTGATTTGCTTTTTAAAGCTGTTCAAGTCCGACTCCAGCTGAAGGGAGGGAGGGAGGAGATTAAAAAGTTTAATGCCATTGTAATGAAAGTGTCTCTTGAAAAATGTAGTTGAATGAGATGGTAATTTAAGATGGGAATTGTTACGTAGTGAATAGGAATGTGTAAGTGAAGATTGGTATTGGTGTAAGTTTTTTTTAATGAGAATCAAAGTTTCCAAAATGTATATTGAGGGAAATGTTAAAATTTGTGATGAAATAAAGTATTGCCTGCAAGATGTTCTTCTTTTCAAACCAAAGACTGCCCTAACTGCCCTCTTCTGGAGTCGGAAAAGGAAAGACGTTTTCCCACACTCACACCCCCACACCGGCACTGCGTATATCAGGTGCGGGAAAATCACTCCATAATATGCTGTAATTAGAACATCACATTTTGCAAACTTAGAAAGTTGGCGGAGAAGAAAGATTCCCGAAGAAATCCTTCTACACACAGTGCCAATATGGGAATGAAAGCGCAGGTTTCTATCGAGCACCAATCCCAAGAACTTAACCTGATCAGCTGCCTCGAGCACAACATCATTCAAAAGGAAATTGTTTTTGTTTTTCCCAGCTGAACTTATAGAAAAATTTACAAATTCAGTTTTTCTGGCATTTAGACTCAATGAGTTGTCCTCGAACCACTGCATCATGGAGCTCGCTTGCAAAAAGGCCTTTATTTCGAGTTCATCGAAATTTTGATCAGAAACCGAGAGCGACGTGTCGTCAGCAAATAGACAAATGTTTCCAGAATTTACAATTGATGGAAGATCATTCACAAAGACAAGGAACAACACCGGACCGAGGACTGACCCCTGAGGCACGCCACGAGCAGACTCGCAATGGGGTGAGCGGTAGGTATTCAGATATCCTAAGTCATCCACCGCCTGAATCATCACAAACTGCTTCCGTCCTGTAATGAATGACTTAAACCATTGCAGTGCCAGCCCTCGCACTCCAAGACAAGAAAGCTTATCAAGAAGCAATGCGTGATCCACCATATCAAAGGCTTTGCTCAGATCGAAAAAAAAGCCCATTGTATGTTCCCCTGCATCCAATGAATTTACTAAATTTGAGATAAGGTCAGTCATTGCGTCTGTGGTGGTTTTCTTTTTTGTGAACCCAAATTGCTTCTCTGAAATAATATTTTTTGTAAAAAATTCTAATAGTCTTAGTAGTATTATCTTTTCAAATACCTTAGATATAGATGATGTTATGGCTATTGGTCTGTAGTTGTCACAGAGGTGGCGATCTCCTTTTTTATGGAGTGGCTTAATAATGGACGTTTTCAGGGCATCTGGGAACTGGCCACATTCAAAGGAGGCATTTATTAAGTTAGCTAGAGGGATAGATACGAGGTCTGCAACTTCTCTTAACAGGTTTGGTGACAATTCATCTGTTCCAGCCGACCGTTTATTTTTCATTTCTTTTATGATCTTTTCTACTTCGGTCTTGTTTGTTGGCTTAAGAAAAAGGGAATCAGGAATAGGCTTTATATGATTTGGCTTGCCTTTCTTATCTAATGGCATACTAACTGATGTAAAAAAATTATTAAAGACATTAGCAACTTGTTGTGGGTCTCTAATTATTTCCCCCTTTTCATTATGAAGATTTATTTCTTTTGCATTACTACTTTTGTTTGGAAGATTTTCTTTAATAGTATCCCAGATGGCTTTATTTCTATTATCTGATTGGTTTATTCTATCATGAATCATATCTGATTTTTGTTGCCTTATTTTATTTCTGTAAGTGCGTTTAATCTGCAAGTATTTTTGACGAAGGTGGTGGTTTGAGTCTAAGTCCTTGGTTTCTACATAAAGATCAAGCATTTGGTTTTTCATATTTATTGTCTCCTTGTCCAGTTTGATTTTACCCTTAGACTGAATTTTATTAATTTTTTGTAATTTATTTGGGAAAGCAACGTCAAGGAAATGGCATAGTTGGTCATTGAATATTGTAAATTTGGTGTTTAAATCCTTGGTGTTGTATAATTGCTCCCAATCTGCAGAAGCCAGTAAATATCTAAATAAGACTCTGCTTGATTGGTCAAATCTTCT